CCCAACAAGCCTAGGAAACAAATGGTTCGTTTCATATTTTCTGAAGCATCGAAGGACCTTAAGCAGGTTCTTTTTTCAGTTCCTCCATTTCTCACAAACAAAAAAATCAGCAAAATTTTTCAAAAGAAATCACATGTTCAACACCTGAATTTTTAAAATCTGAAATGTTGGGATGCCATCGTCCATTCAAAACCACACACAATTACAGCAGCCCCTTAAGTACGATTTTATCAATTTATCAATAAGAGTCGTATATTGAATATTGAGATTGAAAATGAAATATCACTCTGCATAACTGCATTTAGAAATTTAAATAATTTTGAATTGTTTAAATACCATCGGCCTTCTGTAGTTTTCTAACTATGTTTTTCAGGTATGAAAATTCTTTTTTCAGGAATTTTGTACCTTCGGGGTTTTTACGACCTTTCGAGATTTTTTCTCCCATGGGATTTTATCCTGCACCCAGCAAATTGTACACTCCTTTAAATAGCAGGCCATGACACATTGCCCAAACATTCGGCAGCAGAAGTAGGATAAATTCCTGCGGGAGAAAATATCCCACAGCCCAAAAATCTGGTACGAACAAACATTCCAACAAGCTCAACAAACATTCCAAATAGCTGGTACCTGGTAGGAACAGATATTCGCAAGAATCTTGCAGGAAAATGAATCTCAAAGCACAAATTTTTGTGTGAGAAGAATCCCCTTTGAAAAAATGCAATGTACAGTAGAGTGGTGATAGATAACAATTAAACGCATTTTTAATGCTCAGCAAGTTTTGAACCTTACAAGTTTTTGTCAATGTCCATAAAGTTTTGGGTCTACCTGATTTTCAGCCTTGAAAATTGGGTAGACCTAAAAATTCATGGACATTAAAAAATTCAGACTAGGTCAAACAATAAAAAGATAGGAAGTCAGTAATCCAGTGAGGCTTAAAATCGGGTAGACCTAAAAATCTACCTTTGTCGTTCTCTTGAGAGACTTAGACTATGACAACGGCTTTGCTTCCGGAAATACCTCCTGGAAACAGAGGGGTCTGCACGAAATCACCAACGGTCTATTCACTATTGAATTGGGGGCTATAAAATTGCTTACACTTCCTACATCAGCAGCTACAGGGGATTCAAAAACAACGTCCCCTCCCCCGACTGCTTCCGGGAAACAGTAGCAATGAGTTAATAGGGGTTTATGACTTCCAGTCTTCTGTTTCAGAAAGAACTACGAGAGCATAAAAATGAAGATCTCCAGGAACGGTACTCCGGTTTGAAAATTCCACACAGTAAAAATTTCAAAAATCCTTGAATTCTGGATTTTCTGACGTTCGTCACTTGGAACTTCGAGGTTTGTGTATAAAATTAAGTAGCGCTCTTATAATTCCTGATGGGAACTTTTATCCTTCTTCAATTACGGATCATCCTTCAGGGATGCAGTTTTCAGGAACAATGGGAATTTTGAATCGTAGGGACACATTTAACCCCGGATGATCATTTGTCAATCACTCACACTTTGAAAACTTCACACCCCTAATGTAACAAAAAAGTAGGCCTAGCTAGAATAAGAGGACTGGGATTCTCAATCCAATAATTTCGGGCCGTTCGCATTTTTTGCCATTATCACCCATTAATTGTCAATCAATACTTCATCAACATCCCTACGAAGGCGGAACGAACGATCTAGATTTCCATTCTACCCATTGTAAATCTTTCCACGTAAGTGCTGACAGCGATTGCCAGAAAAGGGTCCCAGGCTTAACGGCGGGGAAACATCTTGACGTAACCTCTGCCCGTCCGGCGCGCGAAGGAAGCTTGTCCGCGGAAGAGCGGCAACTTACATCCTCTCGAAAATTTATTTTTCCAACGTTTAACTCTCCGAACTATTTTCATGTTTCACGTGACATCCGACTCTACGAAAGGGTNCAATCAACCAACTGGAAAATTGTGCACCCAAATTTTTTCTACTTGATTGGTTAAGGAACGAAATTTCTCATCTCCAGATTTAACTACAGCCTTAGATAGCCCTGTATCCTACCCTCTCATGGGGATCCAATTTTCGGAGTGAATCGTGTATTCTTTACTAGGCTTCCAATATATTTTCCAATCTGATGATGTGGGCATGTATTATATATGGGCAATATACATGAAGGCGTTAGCGTATACTGTAATATCTGCTGTGCAGTTGCATGCATTTTTCCATCTTAAATTCAAGATCAACACGAATGCAGAAATTAATGTACGGACGTTGTAAAGAGAAATCATCACTATAGCTGAAGTCAGATTTAATGTCGCGTTTCTATATAGGAACTAAAAGCAGCTGCGTTCGATTTCAGTTAGCTTGCCTTCAAATTTTGGGGAAAAATTTATTCTAATTCCAAGCAGAATTGAAAAAAATCTTGACGGCCAAAAATTGAAAATTTATTTGCTCATAATAAAAATTAAAATGTAACCGCTATTCAATCTTACAGTACGGACTGTATCTTAATTGACTATAATATTTATAGATATACAGTACTACTGTACAATAATTTCAACACTACGATACAGCACATCATGAAACTGAGTTACACGGAAAATTTTGAGAAACATTCATGCAACCCGCCAGTCTGAATTAAATTGAGAACTGCAAAAGTTGAGGTTGGAATCCTCAAGAGATTTTGCATAATACGCGCATATACTGCAGTGCACGATCATATTCACTCTTTTCTCATGCAAACGCGACATCTACAAAGATGTTCGTAGAGAGTTGATTCACTGCTTTAATCCTAGATTTCGCCATAATAAAAAACGATCTGCTGGATCTCACTCAATCCTGAAGCAGATCGTGCGATTATGAGAGCCTTACATTTACAATGGATCACAAAACTTTTTTTCAACAATTCTCCTTCATTTATCTGAAATTCAGACATTTAGTTGTTCACGTACAGTACTTCGCCACGAAAGAACATATTGGACTGCATCACGATGAGTGCTGGTGAAAACCCCAACTTTCTTCCCACAGCAACAAAATCAATGGTGGGACGAATCCGCGAGGCATCCCTTCGTACTGTATTTTACTTAGTAGCATCTCATTTTATGATGGCCAGATACGGGATTACATTTTTTTCTTTTAATTTAAAATTTCTGATTCAAAAAGTTGTTCGTGCTGTGGTTTCGATTCGCAAATTATACTGTATATATAGTGCCTACGCGTAGGAGCACATAGCAGTACAACCTTCTCCGAAATAGCACCGTTCACTGTGTATTATTTGTATCGAAATGAAGGAGCAATTAGTTCCAGGCTGAATTATCTCAGATAACATCACAATTGTGAGCTTCGCTGCGAAAAACTCGCAAATCCGGTTATTTCAGCACACGCGTTTTTCCTATTTATTCCAAGGACGAAACGTCGAGGATGCGAGCTGTCAATTGCCTGGCTTCCGAACAGTAATTAACCACGACTCCCAATATATTATGTATGTAGCAATGAGAATCCTTCAAATATATAGCTCATGCATTGGTAGAGATACAAGGGAATTGGTTCTTGGGCCATAGGGTTCTCTTTCCATGCTATGTGTCTTCCGGGGTTCTCCACATCGTAATTCTACAAGGAATTATTTTCAGGTCCTCCGAATATGGTTGTGAAGGGACTGGAACTGATTTCCATGACAACATCCCTTCAAAAAGTGTACATTATGTCCTACATGCTAAGCATTATAGATGTAGTTCCTGCTGTGCGCCACACATACTAAATTTTCCCAAAAGCACTGATGTTATGCTGTACTACTGTTCAGTACATGCAAGTCATGATCAAGTCACCCGAGGGTGAAATACGCCAAGCAACTCCCACCTGTTGTGGTTTGCTGGAACGATTTAAATCTTACGTCATTTACCGAAGGTAAATGAAATGCTGGACGAAAATTGGCTCAAGAGATTGTATTCAACCATTTTCAGTCAAGAGGAATAAGATCATGAGTCGGGTGGCTGGAATACTGTAACGTCGTCGAACTAACCTCGTCAGCCTGGAATAATCTCGTCGCGGAAGATCGTCGTCGGGAATAACCTCGTCTTAATGTGTTACCCAAAATGCTGGACTTGAGGAATTTTTGCTGTACCAGGTCGGCCCAGTTGTCAAGCGCGGGAAGACTTTTTCACAAGTTTGTTCCATGATACGCTTGACGACTAATCCAGTGTTGGAATCACGTTATTCCACCATCCCCATGTTTCGTGATTTAATCTGGAAATTTTCACACTGACGGGTTTCTCTTCTTCTAGATAATATATAACCTAAACAAAGGAGATGAAATAAGAGACAATCAAAGATTCACATGGTACAGTATATTGTTTCATTTTTCAGGCATATAACAATAGAGCTGATTCTTGTACGGTTGGGCCTCCATCATTGGACTCAGGGGGCAAAACAGATATTTTTATTTAGAAACAAGCGTTTTTGTGGAAAAGATTCTGGATGAATTACAGTACAGTAAATCGGTTATTTTTGCTTTCTTTCAGTTTCATTTTATTACTGCTCCGTTTCCTTAAACCCCAGAACATTAATTGGAAGGTCTCAAAAAGTCCGAGTTAAGGGGAAAGGCATTCAAGTCACAGAGAGCTACATTCCACCATTTCAGTTGAATTCTGGACAGGGACAAAAATATCAACAGATGCAGGTTTTTTTTTTTTTCTCTGGGGGAGATTTAAGTTAAGGTCCAACTTTAATAGGCGTCCTTTCATTCGAGTGATTGGGAGAGATCATATGGGCCAGAGGAAACTGTAGATAACCCAACAAAAATAATCGAATTGAATTATCGATTGAAATAACTTTTATTTGAAGATGACCTGATTCTAGTGGATTTCATGCTGGGACAATTTGGCAGACCATGGGATGAAGAAAAATGAAATTTGGGACCAACATAATAAAAGATTTTTTATTCAGAATGATAAATTCTGCATGAACAAAAATCGTTGGTTTGAAGTAAATAGATGAACTGCATCAAAAAAGCATGTGAAACACGAAAATCCAGAAAAAATTTCAAAATCCAACCATGGATCCAGTAAATCTCCTGTTACGGACGTCCAACACATGAAATAATAGCTGTTCTCTTTCGCACGAATCCATCACAATTGTAAACACTGTGTATTCTTCATCAGTCATGAAGACTCCTGGGTAGGGATTCACTTCTAGACGTCATATTTCCTTTTCAGGAATAGAAAACACAGCGAAAATTATTGGCAGCTCGGGACCACCCTGGCTTTGTCCTATCACTCAGATCAGGACATTGTCAGAATGGCCCGATTAACCTCATCCACCTCCCATCATCGGTGGAGGAGATGGAGAACTCCCTGCTCCAAAGCTCCTAAAACGGGGAGGTCTTGGAGGCCTGTTGAAAATTGAAGATAATGCAAACCACTCCTCAAGTTTCCAGGAATGATCCTCACCTGTCATTCGGGCGTCTGTAATCGGAGTTGGCGTTTCGTCGAGTATCTCCGTTCTTCGTGAGGTAGGGATTGAACATCGTTTGGAAACTGGAAAAATATGTTTCTGCATCGTTAATTTCAATTCGAACTCATTACAACATACAACTTACAATAATATGATAAAGTCAATGATGTTTGCAATGAACGAACCCAGGAATCCGAAGGACCATTTCTGACGCTCCCCAATCGTCCCGTCTTGATTGATCGAATACGGAGTACATCAAGTGATTACAGGATAATTCCAACTACGATAGTTGAGGATTCAACTCACCAGCGTTGATATAAACCATCCTGCTTGGTTCACTGTACTGGAATCACAAGCGCGCTGAACATGAGTACAGTACTTGTAGATGCATTCACGGATGAATTTCTGCGATCTTCAGAAACAGAATGATTATAATGCCCACGTCGAACAACTATTAGTTACCACGTGCAGCAAACCCTGAAGTTCAGACATTGTCTGACAGCAGTAATGCGGTACTGTATTTATGGAATCCACGCACGAGTACACGCACACGACCCGTCATAACCGATGAAAACTGGAGCGTAACGCATCGGACCAAACTAACAAGCCTACAATTTCAAGGACGCCGCCATGACATTCCCCACTATCTCCATCTATGTCAAACAAATGCAATTTGATACCCTGCTCCCCAGAATTATATCCTGCGGTGGAGTGCAGGATTCATCAGCAGTAAGTTGCAGCTTACACCTGGTAACTTTTTATGCAAATCACGCGTGGAGAAAATTTTGACATCATGGGATTTGAAATTCGGTAAAATTCATAATTGTGGAAACTATGCCGGGGAATACGAAGTTATTTCTTCTCCCAATCTTTTTTCTTGGTGCTACAGTACCTCCAAATTCTGAAATCGTCGCGAGAAACGAATCGAGAGCATAAGTTTCGGCGACAATAAGATACGATAGATCTTACCTGAATTAATTATTTCTTGCGATTCGCGCACCACGTCAAAAATCTTGCAAATCTGAAAATTAAAAAAAAAGCATCATCGGCAGAAAATGCGCCGAGGGGCATAATAAAAGGAGTATCAAGCGAAATTGTGTAGAAAAAGATTTCTGTATTCAAAAATTGGAGGTTTCGAAAACATTACGGACGCTTTCAAATTGCGTACAGTACTGTATATCACTTCGCACGACGAACCGGAAAGATCAGCTGTACACTTCAAGCGCATTTAATATCAACGGGAGACACGCAGACCAGAGTTTTCAGCAAGTTATCATTCCGGGAAACCTCTCAGCAGGTGACACAACATATTTCTGTTCCAAGAGTCATGGGAGAAGTTAATGAAAAAAAAAATATATATCTATCTCGGACGGAGTGCAGTAATATATGAACGACAAAAAATGCTTTGAGAAGGACTGGCGACTAAGAGAAGATCCAAATATTTTGTCGTAAACATAAATTTGAAATCAATGTTCAGTGGAAATTTATAACTGAAAGCACCGACTAATTTAATGTACCCTAATATATGAGATGAAATCAGAAATAATGAAACTATACATTGTACTACGAAACGAGGTAAAGTATATTTGAATTGGGATTATCACAAGAAAATTATTTGAAGAACCCTGCTATAGCACCCAGACAACGCGGACAGTTAGGCACGCTGGTTTACAAAGGAACGAGAATATACCTATAAACAGTATGTACATATCAAATGGAACTAGTCAAACGATTCCTGTCATAAGGCCACTAAGAATTGTAATTTTCCCAGGATTCCTTTCGGTTTTCGACATTCTTCCTGCTTGGAGCTCCCTGCAGAAGTGACTCATGAGTACATAACCGAATGATGGGTTCTTAGAGCAGATTCAAAATGATTCTATTGAAAAGCCATTCATAATGCAGAATTAATACCTATTTTATTCCAGAATCCAAATTACTGTACTGTACATCCTTTCTGAAATTTATATAAAAACCCTACTTACACAAGATGGACCAAAAAGTACTACAGTACACCCATTTCAAAACGATTCATCTAAGGATTCATTATAATAAAAAAAATGAGTCAAAAGAGGCTCACTTCAATTTTCTTGGAATCAACGTCACCATCCCTTATCAATTTATTAAAATAATACAACGCAGAGAAATTTAAGCCAGATTGTTTTACACTCATTACAGTATTTGAATTAATCTTCAACAGTCGAAAAATGAGAAGACAACACTGTATATACTGAATTGAGAAGATTCAAATTTTTAAATCTGATCCGCGAACCAGAAAAAAAAAAAACATCAGCGTCAAATTAAAGAAACATACCTGTCGTGTAATCGCGTAAATTCGACGGATTGAGAGCAAAATAAAAATAAAACAGCAACTTTGTTTGTTTCACACAAAGACTCACAACTCAATAATCTGAATGTTTCAGCTCATGAGATATTCTTAGCAACAGTCTCTTGAAAGTCGAAAACTATTTAAAGCTTCCCCAACGCTTCAGCCGCTCCACGTTTTGCCAGTGTATCTGCAGCTTCATTCCCCACATTGCCAGAATGACCTTCAGTCCACTCCTGTAAATCACATCAAATTAAATTGAGAATGAATTCAGGAACATTAAAGAAGTCTTCTGGTTATCAAAATGTGATTGCGGAGATATGAAATCGGAGTACAGATACCCTGAGTACAGGCGGGAGTACAGATACCCGCCTGATGCTTTCAGCCCCGAAAAATTGCATTTCGTCCAGATATTTTCTTGTTTCAGTGACAAAAGTTTCCAAACCACAATTGAAAATTTCTTTGATAATTTTCTGTTGTTACTTAAAAGAACACCGTCCAGTTCAAAGCCAAGTTCAGAACCTTGGGCAAGTTTCTTTTACGTCTCTATTAGTAAAATATTTACCTTTTGCAAGGATCCCTGTGAGATACTTTACAAATCATGGTTGGCACAAACTGAATTTAGTATCAATTGTTTTGTTTACAGTACACATGGCACAAGTTCTACTTCATAATTGACAAAACACAATGCTAGAAGTTCGGCTTGTCCCGATTTTACAGTCATTCTGCGCCCAAGGGAGTACAACATTTTTCGGTTGCAAATGTCGTATTTCACCCTTCTACGAACACAACAGCATGTTTTCTCTGCTGTCAAACGCTAACAAACTACCACCCCCCCCCCCGCCCCTCTGAGTCAATAAATCTTCACAAGGTAGTTACAACGTTGGAAACTTTTCCTCTTGAATTCTTTCCTCAGAATTGGAGACCACTGTTTTCCATACAGCATTCCCGTTGACGTCTCAAACTCACAAATAATCTTTTTCTTCCACAGACCTATATTTTCTCTGGGTGGACAGTTCTGGGATCTTTTCTCCCCCCTCGCTTTCAATTTTTTTTCTAATGAGTTGCCTATAATAGGTTCTTGTCAGCCCCACCCCAAAACTGTAGTTCATCAACGTCACTTGTAACTTTCTGACCTAAAGAAGTTGCTCTTTATTTTCAAAAGAAAAAAAAAAAACTGTGTACCGTTATTTCTTTCCATGCACAAATTTTACGTTATAAACAATTTCCACAGCAATCACTTAGTTTGGTTGGTAACTTTTTACTGCTGCTGGTCACAGTTCAATGGGTGTAGGCCAGGAACATGGAAATACTGTATGTAGTTGACCTACAGGTCAGTCACAAATGCGTGGAATGCAAATATATTAGCAGGCAAAAAATTAGAATGGAAAAGATACTCACAAAGCGCACATCTATTGAAGAACAGGCTTTCTCAATGGCTCGAATTTCAGCTTGATTCTCTACATTGGTATTTGCAGCAGTCTGCCAGTTGTTCTGTTTCCATTTTGGCAACCATTCAGTGAGGCACTTTATGGTATACTTTGAGTCAGTCCTGATCTCAACCTTGTTTAATCCTAGGAATCCAAAATACGGACAAATCCATCACATTATCCGGTATGCACTGTAATTTATAATTACCAGATTCCTTTGCAGCGTTGACCGCATACAGAACTGCCATCAGCTCTGCACGGTTGTTTGTCCCAGGAATAGGCAAGGGTTCCGAAATATTACTGCAAATATACAGCCAAACCCTGATTTAGTGCCACCATCCCTCCCTGGACATTTTGTGGCACTATCAGGGAGGGTGGCACTAAATTAAATTCAATAAAAAATTTAAAAACAAAAGAGGATCAGTTTAGGGTTGCTACCAGGGGCAAAATTAGGATTCTAACATCAGGGTTAGGCCCCAATTATGTTCTATGAGAAAAGTGACATCAACATATGTTAGAGCTGACAATACGGTGTTTAAAAAAAATTGTAATTCTTATTTACACTACTTTTAAATGCAATATATATACCAGTTGATACTTATATTGCAGTTAAAAAGTAGTGTAAATAACAATTAGAATGTTGCACATAGTTTTGGCTGCAAAAATAGTGATTTTTCAACATATCTGTTTCTACTGTATGTGCACTGAAAGCATTGATTCCGGGATGTTCTGGTGAAATGAATTTAATAACTGAATATGCAATTTCAGCTATGAAAATTATCTCTGCTGAAGAGGACAATCCAAACACTGCCACAAAATTAGATTAATGGACCACCAGCATTCAGCAATCCTTTACAGGATCAAAAACAAGGCATGACCAAAAATCCTCTCCTTGGATTCTTTTAAACCATCTCAACAAACATTTAATTTGAAGTGAAAAATTTGTGTTTGACTGTCAGCTTCAGCTAATTTTCTCAAATTATTGAATTCCATTCAATGCTCCTCAAAATTAGCAATGTAATTTTTACCTTGAGTGACAAGGGTTGAATAAAATTTCATCTGAGACAGCAGCACAAATAAAAAATACATGGCAGGGGAATTTTGCATTCAACCTCAAATCCATATAATAGAAAAAGACTTTACGGAACCATTCCTGGCTTTAAAACCACATTGATCTGGATTTTCCAAGTTTCTATTCTCCTTTGCAGTATAAGTAGTGAGCAATTTTTAAGCTGTAATTATAAACCTTGAAAAGATTTTGAATTCCTTCCTTGTGATGAGGTCTTGACATTTGTTAAAAGACATGTTTCGTTTCTTGTCATCAGCACTTGTGACACACTTGCAGACAATTAAAAAAAATAAGTGCTAACATTTTATTCAATTATGGAAGGAAAACCTGAAGAACAAAAATTATCGAGAATTAATTTTCTGCTTTCTTCCTGACAGAAATTGAGAGGCATCTTTTTTTTACTCACAGGACAACATGCATTCAATTTGCATGAAAGCCATTTTAATTCTGGTTTAAAAATAGGTTTAATAGCTGTCCTATCAACTTTCAATTTTTGAGGGGCCAAATGGATTAGGGAATATATTTCTCAACATTTCGTTTTGAATTCACTATGGAGCTGATTGAAACTTCATGCAAACAATAAACTTAGCAATCACTCAAAGATGCCCCAAAAGAACAACATAAGAAAGATTTGTGTGGGATAAATTCTTATTAAATGCAGTTATCCATGCACTCCAGCAACAAATTCAAAAGGCTTATTTTTCATTTCCTTTAAAAAGAATGTTGAAAATTTGTGTTTTGTAACAGGTGCTATCAAGCATATAGAAATCCTCAATGTTTTAAAAAAGGACATTTTCATAGAATTGTCTTTACAGACAGGCATCATGTCAAGAAAATCAAAATTTTTTCAAGCTATTCATGTGAACAAGAGATATTTATACTTGTTTAGAAAATTTTGTGTTCACATGGACTGTGTTTTTCAGTAATTTCTGAATGAAATCTTCAAGTGAAGGCAAACATTTTCATCATTTGTGTCAATTTTGTACACCTGGACAAGGACTTTTCTGTGGCAGTAATCAGGGTTTCCCAAGCATAATGGAGGGAGATTTGGTCTGCAAAAATATGTGGCACTAAATCGAGGGTTAACCGTGCGAAAACGATCACATGTCTTAGAATACTGAAGTTTGCATGAAAACAATTCATCAGTACGAGAACTTTAATGCGCTGAGAAAATTTATTCACAGAGGTAACGAACACAACAAATGAATAATGAAACAAATACAGGGATCCTCGGTACAGTATTTAAGAATACCGTATATAGTAGAGCTGAAAATACTCGAAACGTACGAGGATTTTGTTGCAAGAGATACACCAATAAAAAACGTACAGCACTGCACGGTACTTCTAGATTTTAAATGATCCACCTCACAAATGACCAAATATGTAAACAAAAGGACATACGCGACATGTTGCGGTCCAAACCAGGCCCCAACTCCAGCATTTCTCACTTGACCCATGCAGGATCCATCCGTGTAACATTTGGCAAATCCATCAGGCGTGAAATCATAGTCATCAGCCTTTGCCAAACGAGCCCGTTCCAGAACTCTTGATGGAATCTGAGGCTGTTGAAAATCAATCTTTCATTTTGAGACATAATAACGTGAGGTCTGTTCATTGATGGCACGATCTTTTCTTGGATGAAGATAGAAGGACGCACCGATTTCACATCATGACTTGGATTCAGATTTTCAGGCATCAAAAATTTCAAGTAAAAGAATACTGTACAGTGCTTTTCACGCATAGAAAAGTTCACAGGAAGAACGAAGAAAGAGCATTCAAACCCATCAGTGGGTGTTCAACAATAGCATTTAAAATTCCAGGAATAGAGCGCCGGCAAAAATGAAAAGAAAAATACTTCTGAATAACAAAATATTAAAACCTTACAGATCAAATTTCCTTGTTCAACCATGCACTTAATTTTTGAATAGCACATGTGATTTCGAATTGGAGTAAATCGAAATTTCATGGACTCAAAATCCGTCTTCAATATGATAATCCCATTTGACATGACTAAGAAGCTGGCGAATTGCAGACCTCATTTTTTTCAACTTACCGACACAACTTTCTAAACTGCGATAGGGTTTGTTTTCAACAACGTAACGAACACTGATTGAATTTATTTACTGTTCGTTATTCTGAGGCATTATTCAACACAAATCGCACCGTGAGCCAGATCTCTCGAAAAAAAAGTTTAGCCATACTGTACTGAAATTTGTGATTCCCCTTTTCTCTTTTGGACTAGGTCTAATCTTCAGCCACAGCGAAAAACTCACGTGTTCCGTTTGACCAACTCGTGCAACACCGGAACTCCTGGTGGTGCTTGTACCAGAAGAGTTCACACCTCGTCCACTGCTGCTGCTGGTGGAATAAGGCGACGCAATACTAGCCAAAACTTCGGCATCTGACAAATGGGGATACGGTTGAACTTGATCACGAGGTGGACCAAATGTTTTTTTCGGTAATTGCTTATAGCCTGAAACTTTTGGCTGGTATGAAGAACTCGGCTGGTAGGCAGAGGCAGCGCCTGATGACCGTCCTATCGGCTGCGGAGCGGGAGCTGCGCACCCTCCTCCGAATCTGGACTGGACGTTGGCAGATCCCTGCCCCTGCTAAATTTTGAAAAAAAAAAGAACCATAACAAATAAATGAACGAATCTCTACCGTGATAGGAAGAAAATATCGCGAGAAAAACTACATTAATTACAACTTCCTGAAATTATTTTCCAAAAACAAATCCTTAATTCTCTAACTCGAGTTTTTGCTGGTCCCTTAAAGTTTGACGAAGAGGTCTGACCGTACCAGCGAGTCAGCGACTTGTCGAAAACTTCAAAAAAACAACGCATGTAAAAAAACAAATAAAAAATCACGATCAAGAATATTACACACAATATTTCTGGATCAATTGAATTTAAGACTTCAGATGACTTGAAATGACAGGGTGCCTTAACCGTTAAGAGAATTCGATCGTGAAGATAATTATCAAGAGACTTCTTTTATCTTTCGCAGTGGGGAAAGAAAAGAATTGATATTTAAATTCAGCATTAGAGGACGCCTCGACGAGATAGATAAATACACTCCTACCTTGACGGAGAAGCAGTTAAAATTTACAATTTACTGTGACTTCAGTCACCTTCTCCTATTTTGAAGCAACAATAGAAATCAAATGAAAATCGCTCAACGATCATATTTCATGGATCTGTCTCACAATCAAAAACTGCCACCCCCCCGCCCCCCAATAAAAACACTATACAGTATTGAACACAAAGGCAAAATATTACCGCACTACTTCAGGAGTGTCCTCGGTTTCTTCATATGATCACCATAGCCCGATCAACGGGAAAGAAAAATTACAACAATGCCTACTCTTGCGTTTCACGTAGATTAACGTTCTCACAACAACAATAAAATACTGTATATACCAACAGGTGCACTCATGTACGCCTCCGCTTCTCGTTGAGTGTTGAATTTCTTGAATTGCGCCCCACTGTATCTCGTCACTCGCTGTTCACATTCTTGCCTACAAGAGACATCCACAATTTATAAATATTGACCAATACGATATCCAAGCTCCAATACGCACCAATTCGAATAAATGCCCGTCTGGGTTCCACGTCTCACAGCGTAATAAGGCATGACAACCGAACAAGTAATGCAATGTGGAAAATGACGTGCGCGAACGCAGAACAACCTGAGAGAAAAAGACAGTGGGTCACAATATAAACAAGAAATCGACGAATAAACCGAATCCAATGCACACAACAGAGGCAAGTCTGAAATTATAGACTAGTCAAAAATCTAAAAAAAAAAAAAAATTAGCACGGATGTAATCAAAACGCTTCTATATTGCCGATTCAAATCAGAATACCGTTTTCATTATTTACACCCCGGTGGCGAAGCTTTCAAAAAAGTACACAACGCATTGAACGCATGGCATTGAAAAATGTACAAAGATACTCAAAACCGATTTCCCCACTCACACACGGTGGTAAGGTAACACGTAAGGCACATAAGATGGTTCAGGATAGCGCCTCCATTGACTCATTTGTCCGGACGCTCAAACGCACGAGGTAGGATCAGTGAATGTTCCGTAATCAATTAAAAATATTATGACCAATTCCACAGAAGAGCACACTTCGATATTTTTCATTTAGGCAATTTGAACCGTGAAAGCAACATTACGATGAACTAAAATAAAGTACAAAACCTATTAGCAAAAATAGTCAGATAAAATATTTGTAGGTTGTTTACATGCACGATTTGAAGAAACATCTCTATTCGAGGGAAATCATAAAAGTACTGTACTGCACTTCAATTTTCTTTCAACAACAGTTCAAGCCGAATTAACTCTGCAGCAATACCAAGAAGTCCCGTCACATTAAAATATTACCAATTGATTCGCCAAAGTTTCACTGACAGGTGCGTTCAATTCGAATTATTTGAAAGGGTGCGTATTTTGTACAATTCTATAAAAATGCATAACGGAAGGGAATTTATGAGTTTCATACTGATTTTCGTAGCTGCTAGAATCGCGAAGTCTCTCGGATACACGACCTTAGTTAGTTTCACAGGATGATTTCGATCATTTCTCGGGAACGTTTCGGCGAGCGAGATACAGAGGAAGGGTCTTGCCAATTTGACAGACTTGGAATCTATTGCCGATAGACTGTCAACGCCCTAGCAGCACCACGCTTCGCAAGCGAATCTGCGGCTGAATTTCCAGAGTTACCCGCATGGCCTGGGGTCCACTCCTGAAAAAAATAGAAAAACTTGGGGATAGGATCCAGGAATACATTTCGAAAAATACGGTAATCTTGCCAAGGCAAGAGAAAATCAGTACCCATATCCACAGATGGCACCCATATTGTTTCACGGAACTGATTTTTGCTTCAACACATAACCTCTCCATATAATTGGAAAAGTTCGGCAGCATATTATTGAAACAATCGTTTCTACTTCCGGAACGTTTTGGATGAAGAATCGTCAACCGATCAAGAATTACAAAAAGCGAAATTACTCAGAGTATTACTGATACCAACATAGTTCAATTCACTCCAAAGAAAAAAAAAAAAAAAAAATCCGAGATATGCCTACGACCCTTTTATCGCGCATTTGGTCATGCATGGTTTTTCTGCTGGAAAAAATTTTCAACAAGGAATCAGAAAAACATAAAAATAGAACTCACGAAGCGCACTTCCATATAATTGCGGACTTCATCGATGGCTCGGATCTCTCCTTGATTCTGGACATCTGTATTCTCGGTTGTCAGCCAATTGTTGCTTTTCCACTTCGGTAACCATTCAGTGAGGCTATATATTGCATACCTCGAATCAGTTCTGACCTCCAGCATATCCAAACCTGATTTTTCAACGAAGGACAAAACATATATAGCATATTGTATTTCGGCTCCATGATAAAATCCCGTAGGAGAAAAAATCCCGCGGCCCGAAAATCCCGTGATGCCGATAATCCCGTAGGCCGAAAAATCTCGCGGAGTCCAAAAATCCCATAGGTACGAAAATCCCGTATACAACAAAATTGTGACATTTCTGCTGAGGAAACCTGAGAAAAATGTAACCTTCATTTGGATCAAGACTTTGTCCCTGCATTTGTTTTGTGCGTAAACTGTTCACTTTTACAATTATTTTCAGTTCTACTTTGCCCTCAAAACATGAATTTTTACATCAAAAAAACCTCCTTTGCTATCTACATATACGGTAATGGTCTGTAAATAATTTCTAAATCATCAAATAAGTCTAAATGCAGTTATATAAGTTTAGTTCATCTTGTCAAATTTCAATTTCAATGAAATTTCAATGTACAGCACATGATAGAGCATAAAAAAATTTTTGAATTCAACGAGCCATTAACATTATCAAGATTCCCACCCAAAGGCCATAGAAGAGTAAACGCAGTTGGAAGGAAAACTCAGAGATAATATCACAATTTTGTAGTGTACGGGATTTTCGGACCCCCCGAGATTTTTCGGCCTCACGGGATTTTTTCTCCTACGGGATTTTCTCCTGCACCCCGTATTTCATGTCTGCTCAGCAAATTTCCTTTTTACCGGATTCCCTCGCAGCGTGGATTGCATAGAGCACAGCCAACAGTTCTGCTTTGTTGTTTGTCCCCGGAATGGGCAAGGGTTCGCAAATGTTCCTGCAACAAAAAATAATCAAGTAGCATAATATAGAAAAATCAATTCCACAGAAAAATGGCGAGCACTCGCTGTCCTCCTTCCTTCTAAGAACGCAATTCACTTGAAATTTACACGAACGCCAAAAATGAGTTGAGGTCAGCAAACTAATGTATTATTACTGCAGAAGTATTTGCCAAGGCAATGTGTCGTAGACTTGCATCGCACAAATATGTAAGATGAAGCATGAATCCCGACATCATCGTAGCAAAAACACTTTTTTAGGGACTGTATGTGCTAAAAGAGTGAATACGAAAAAAGTATAGAAAAATATGTACTGTACAATAAGGTACAGTACTTCTTCAGGCCGCGTCTTCGCCGTTTCACCCACATAACGTTCGTATACAGTGCAAAACTACAGCATCGTAATTCGAAAGGATGGGGAAATCTATACAGGCATCGCCAGGTCAACAGCAAGAAAGAGACTGACTTGACTTATAAACAAAAAACCAAAACAAAAGGCCAAGTTTAAGGGATCAACTGCGGAAATCGTCAGTGAAAAATGAACTCACGCGACATGATCATTTCCAAACCAGACCCCAACACCAGCGTTCCTCAACCGGCCCATGCAGGACCCATCCGTGTAACATATGGCAAATCCATCTTCCGTAAAATGAAAATCATCGTCCTCCGCCAAACGAGCCTGAACCAGAATCCGCAGAGGAATCGCAGGCTGGAGATGTGCTCCCGGAAAAGGATATCTCCTGTATGGCCGACGACTACGTCTTCTGATCGGCAATCCCAGTCTCCAGAATGCTTCCTGATTACGCGTAAAGCTAGTCATTATACTGTATATTCCAGTCACATCCACAGTTCAATACAAAGTTGAACTTGTATAAAAACAGAATATTTAGGTACAATCTGATAAAAGATAAAACCCAGCATCTCAAAATTACAAGGTACATGCAGTGCTGTATGTCATTTGCATAAAACATTTGTTTACTGGTAGGCCATGCGTCAACGTAATCCAAACGGCACCTTCGCATTCAACTCCGATTTTTCAAATTACTTCCTGCATCCAATCGTAAAATTCCATGAAAAAACCTGGAAATAAAACTTGGCTATTGGTTGTGCGCTGGAAATGCTTCAATTCAAGCTCACGAATGGTTCTTACTGAAGAAAACAAGAAGTGTATTGACAGTCTTCTAGATTTCACAAATTTAACCATTACACTAACTACACTTCAAATAAGCACTGTAGACCCGAAATGAATTACGCTTTACAGTATTTCGGTACTAATCAGTTGTCGAAGTTTGAAACGAACAAAGGTTTATTGTCTTGACCTTTCAAAAATTCCCTGTGGAGTGAGAGATAAATGAGAGAAGACCAGATAAACTGGAAATTTGGGAGGAACTGCATTGAGGATGCATAAAAAACATCCGGAATGAGCTCAAAAAATATGAAATTATTATTTTTAAACCCTCTTCAAATTAATCTCATTACAACCTAAGTTCCCCAGCATACCTTGAATCGTTCAAAATGATTTCTCAAATTTAGTGGATATTTCAAGCTAACAAAATTGGTAGAAAACTGATTACGTTTGAATCAATGAGATCCTTTAAAGAATAGGGTTTTCCATTTTTTCCTACCCCTGGATTGCCTGGAATGGTTGGCGGACATGAACAGTAGTCCACTGTAACGTGCAAGAAACGTCTCGAATGATGCAACCCAAAGCGTCCGTCCGCTTCTCACCATCTCCCAACCATGTGAAGATAAATTGAGTCGGCTCTAATCATCAGCGAAGACAGTCGGAACATCAAAGGTCTGATACACCATTGCCTCATAGAACCGCACTAGGACAATTCAGAAGCTAAAGATACCCTCTATAATAAGACACATCCTATAACTATAATGCGATGGGTTTGCTCGGAACTTCAACGTCATTATAAGGAGTATGCGATAAATCTTACCATCCCATCTGATATGAGGATTTCTGTTCTTATTGCAGAAACAGTAGAACTTGAATAAAGTACTCACCGGGTCACGACAGTACGCTTCCGCGCATTCTAGTGCGGGGAACTTCCTATAATCCGCCCCACTGAACCCAGAGACTTGCGGCTCACACTCTGCCCTACACGCAGAATGCATAAAAATTAGTCATCAATTTTTGCGATTTCAAGATGTGATACACACCAAGAATAATAAATTCCAGGATTGTAACCACGCACCACTGCGTAAAACGGCATGGCGATCGAATGTTAGCTGATGAACAACGCAAACTTTCACCAAACCTGAAGAAAAAATTTCAGTAACATCACAAGGGAGAAAAATTAGGGCAATGAAACAAATGTCTGTACACGAAGATCACATTTCTGTTGAGATTCGTGGTTTTCTTGAATTGAGGGCCCACATAAAATCTTCCCAGAAGAAAGTTTTCGAGAAAATATTCTAAAATATGATTATTTATTTTATTAGTAAAATAAGGGACAGTACCACTCATTTTGTACGCAATCTGATGGCACCGTCAATTATTGAAGCCGAATTTTCAATAATCAGTGAATGAAAATCAGAGAAGCTGTCATCATAACTCGAGTTAATAAAGAGTAATTCGCACCATGGGCAGGTTGAAATTATATTTTCAATTAATCGAGTAGCTTTCAAGTCGTTCTTGAAAAAAAAAACGGTTCTCACTTCAAGAAAACGTTTAGTTTGATCATAAAAAGTTACACAACCCGCAAAACGCGGTTCAACCCATAAACGCTGCTCAGCTCCCATCGACAACTGAGACAAAGGTTTCCAATCACACTTCTGACTACGTCAAAAATCAATACAAAAAAATAGCATCACTCGGATGTAATCAAAACGTTTCTATTTTGCCGATTCAAATCAGAAGACCGTTTTCATTATGTACACCCCGGTGGCGAAGCTTTCGAAGAAGTACTCGACTCACGAACTCACTTGAAAAATGTACAAAAATACCCAACACCGATTTTCCCACTCACACTCACGGCGGTAAGGCACATAATACGGCCAAAGATTGCGCCTCCATTGACTCATTTGTCCGGACGCTCAAAAACACGAGGTAGAATCACTGACTGTTCCTTATTCAATTTAAAATATTAAGACAAACTCCACAGAAAAGCAAACTTAGATTTGTCATTCAAGCAAATTGAACCATGGAAGCATTATTACGATGAAGTAAAGTGCCTCTGCGTAAAAATAGCCAGATAAAATACTTGTAGGTCGCTTATGTGCACCCTTGAAGAGACAACTCTATATCAAGGAAATAATACGAGTAATTCAATTATTTTCAATTCCCAGGGAATCAACTCCGTATCAATACCAGAAGTCACGTCATTTTAACAATTTTCACCAGAGAATTCGTCAATTTCCACTCGAAGATACGTTCAAAGCGACGATAATTGTTTGAAATGGTGCATATTTCTCATAATTTTATAAAAATGGGTAACTGATGAGAATTCATGAGTTTTCACCCAAATTTTCGTTGTCTGGAATTGTAGGGTAGTTTTACACGATGATTTCGAATCTGGAACGTTTCGGCGAGCGAGATACAGCAGACGAGAGATCTTGTCAGTTTGACAGACCTGGAATCTAGTGCGGATAGACTCTCAAAGCGGCGATAGCACCACGCTTCGCCAGCGAATCTGCGGCTGAGTTTCCAGAGTCACCTGAATGGCCTGGCGTCCACTCCTGAAAAAAAAAATTAGGAATGGGAGTCAAGAATAGATTTTGACGAATATTCCTGCTATATTCATGTGAAGTTGTTTTTCCTGGACCGATATTTGTAGCACAGGAAAACACACCGTTTCCACTCGAAGAATTTATCGCACAAACTTGATTGTGAAGAAATCCCGAAATAGATACAGCAAACTTATTCCAAGAATTATAATTCCTGGTGCCATCATTAATTTTCGAATATGATGATGAAGCATGAAGTGTATAAACAACATGCCATTTTAAATAACGATTTTATAAATTAACCACAAGGCAACCTATCAACAATTACTGTATGTTGAAATTCCCATAAGATGTTGGAAATACACAAGTGAAACCTAAACCCCCTCAAGGAAAAACCGAATGTCGAATCTTTGTCTGTTCCTGTCTGAGTTATCCCAAAAATAGTGCTATCTCAACCTCCCTCTAACTCGACGGTTCACCTCTCGAACCTCAGTAATAAATCAAATTTTTGAATACCAATTGGGCAATTTTACACTTTTTAATGTTCAGCATCGTGTAATATCCATTTATGCAGCATTTTGAGGCCTAAAATATCACCAATTTCTAATTCCTGTGATAATTAAAAAAAAATGTCGACCAAGAAACCTTATTTACCCAACTCGAAATTCCTTCTCCTGGTCTCTTGGAGTTCGAGAGTCTCGACTGTATTCGAAACAAAAACAAAATTTCGAACTCTTCTGAGAAACTTTCAGCATCGTGAAATGAGTGTACACTTCTGGCTGCAACACAAAAGCTCTCACTTCCCATTATGCACTATGCTGAAAAATGCCTTTAAATTTACAAAAATTTAAAACTTGTAACAATACGGGAGGATTTTTAAATTCTCAATATTCAACTACGCGTGTCGCTCGGACAGCCCTTGTACACAAGGAAATTACGAGTAATTTTCAAGAAAGCACGTAATTTGACCCAATAAGAAATTTGAAAAAAGTCTTTTCCCTCCCATGAGAAACCTTCAACGAAAATTCAATAAAAATTCGACTCACGAAGCGCACATCCATATGATCGCGGACTTCATCGATGGCTCGAATTTCCTTTTTATTCTCGACAGGTGTGCCCGCGGCTGTTCGCCAATTGTTGCGTTTCCATGTCGGCAACCATTGGGTGAGACAATTTACCGCATACCTCGAGTCAGTTCTGACCTCAAGCATATCCAAACCTGCGTTTCAAACAAATTGGAACACATATGGTTCTAAACAAAGATGGTTTAAACAATTTTTTTACCGGCTTCTCTTGCCACGTGGATCGCGTATAGCACAGCCAACAGTTCCGCTCTGTTATTCGTCCCTGGAATAGGCAGGGGTTCCGAAATGTTCCTGCAAAAATCATCAGTGTATACAGTATGATAGGGTACAGGATTCAATGAAACTCATTTTCAGAGGGACACGGTGCTCTTTACAGACCTCCTTACGGGAGTTTTTAGAAAAATTCGAACTGTTTTCCTGAAAATTCGGAAATGAAAGGTCTATCATCTCCAAAGAGCCGAAGGGAAAAATACAGGTACAGTACTTAAGTTTCTTTTACTTCAACTCGGTCAGGAGAATTCCTGCAATTCTGGTGGCTTCCCAAACTCACTTATTTTTTTGCTCCTATGGAATTCCACTTCGGTTTCACAGTACTGTACTCGCAATTTTACCCACTATAAGGATTAAAAAGAAAATAATACTGTACTTGGACTTGAAAAACAAATGAAAAACATTATCCAAGGAAATTACGACATTGATAATTTAGATTTTAGACTCATAATTCAGGAAATTACTGTATATCATAAATTTTCACCCCGGCAATATGTTGTAAAGCTACGTAAAACCAGGTAGAAATCGTGATATCATCCAATACGCAAGAGTAACTCCTTCGTTGACTATACTATAGCCTAGAGAAAGATTCAAAGCACTACAGGGTCTAAGTGCCATTTCAATCGGTACCCAACCAAAAGCCCCCCCTGCCTAAAGCCACCCTAGGTCAAAAGCCCCCCCACCACTTTCTTATAATTGGATGCAAGTTTCATAAAAGTGCTTGGTGGCCCTGAGAATGGCTATTTGGTTTCATTAGTCCTCAAAAGGACTGTTTAATAATCATCTTCAAAATTGCCTTCTGCTGCCTCTTCCTCATTGTTACAATGATGCTCTCCATCTCATTTTCTTCTAAACAGCTATTGTAGTATGCAATTTGACTGCCCTTCTGATTATTGATGATCTGAAGTGCACCAGCCATTAGACCAACAAGGTGAACTGTAGATTTTGCAGAAGTCAGCAAGTGATGATGCTTTGACATTATATTCAAAGAATCACTGATGACCACTGCAGGTGNTTTTGCAGAAGTCAGCAAGTGATGATGCTTTGACATTATATTCAAAGAATCACTGATGACCACTGCAGGTGAGGAATCCCTTTATATGCTCAACTTAAAAACATATTGATACTTGGCCTTGTGCTGGGCCTGCTGGTGAAAGGTGCAGCTTATCATCAAGAGTTACAAGAATACCTGTAATCCCCAATTTTTGAACCTAGGGGGGGGCTTTTGGCAGGGGGGCTTTTGACCTAGGGGGGCTTTAGGCAGGGGTTGCTTCCCAGGGGGGCTTTTGACCTAGGGGGGGCTTTCGGCAGGGGGGGCTTTTGGACTACACCCCTCTGATGTAACCTAGCCTGCAGAAAATTGCTGGCACTGCCTTGTAATGGATAAGAACCCTCTGCCAATGAAAGGCTAAAAGGCTCCCCTTTATTATTTTTCCACTTGAATCTTGAATATTATATTTAATTGAGTTTTATGCATACTTTTTTCAAAATTATGAGAAAAAATAAGGGTTCAATTGAAAGGAATGTATATAAAGGTTTGAAACTTTTGTGCAGTTTAATAGGCCAACATTACCCAATTTCAACCTAGATATCTTAAACCCCCCAAGTCAAATGCCTCTTTATGTCAATTTTTGAAAATCTTTCCACAAATGTATTCAATATTTAAACTGACCTTCATAACTAAAGATAATTTCAAACAAACCTCTCAATTTCAAAGTTTCTGGAGGCCTTGGGTTATTATTTTGGTGACTGCTGGAGAAAGATAAATTCATTAAGAAATGTACTTAATGTCCTCCAAAAGGAAGTAAGTGACTAAAACTGGACAAAATAACCCACGCCTTGAAGTTCAGCATCCTCTCAACTCAATTAGGAAGCTGTTGAAGACCCACAATATCACAAATTTGAACTTTCTGCAGTTCTGACCACACCCTCATCCTCCACCTCCAAGCAAAAGGGCTGGTTTCCCCAACTCAAAAACTTCACAAGTCTATTTTTTTGTCCCTTGCATTCTTATTTATTTATGAAGGCTTAGCAGAAAATGAGTCACTTACTTGTGAACATCTTAGACCCATTTAATTATTAAAAAAAAATCAGTTGCTCCCTTATATCACTCCCTGTTTAAATGGTGATGAGCTGATATGCAAATTTGTTGCATGGTTGAATTCTAAGGGTCATCATCTTATAAGTTTCTCTGACAAAATGTTTCAGTCCTTCAACCCCAGAAACCCATTAACATTCATTTAATGACTCTGGGGTGTTACACCATTCTTCGTATTCAGCATTGTACAAGATTCAAACATCAGTTAAACATATTCCATCCTGAGTGAAGCTGGTACTTTATTCCGAGAAAATAGGAGCACATGCCTTGAAATGTGATTGCATCAATTTCGAAATGAGACTGTAAATGGCCTAAGGTTAGTTGAATGGTTTAAAGCAGTGTTCCCCAACCTTTTTGAGCCTGCAGACTGGCAAATAGCCATACAATTTTTGGCGGACCTGGACTGGCAAATTTCCCAAACATTTTCTGCAGATGGGCAGTTTTGTAAAATTGTTGCAGACTTCAAAGTTTTGCTTGGAAGACTCTATGTTTGGCATTTGAAAAGTTTCTGTTTTTTTCTTCAAAAATTAAGATCCAATGACGAAGCAGCTGCATAGTGGAATGTTTTCAACAACAAGAATTAAAAAAAGGTGGGCTTGAAGAGGGCTTCTCAGACTGAAAAAATTACATTGATTTATTTCAGAATATGAATATTCAACTCGAAGAAAAGCCAACTTTTACTTTTTCTTCAGATTGATTTCAACTACCACTGTTTTTCCCAGATCTCAGATACAGCTAAAAGACTTCAGTGCTACTTTTTTGAATTTATTGTGCTGCAGAAAATTTCCCACAGAAAGATTTTCATCCACACAGAAAACATGCAGTGAGAATTCCTTCTTATGAAAATGTCATCAACTGTATAAATTGTATCTTAAATTATCGGATAAGTCTAACCCTTACTACTGCATATTTTGACAAGCCAGATTTAAATGAGAAGAAAACGTGAGCTTCTTATTTTTTATATGCGAACGAGAAAAGCAATCCAGAAAATCATTGTCATTTCGAACCAAAAACATGATGTCTGAGTTGATGAAATTTCATGCCTTGCTGATTCCGCTTTCAAAATGTGTGCGCATAATGACTCCAATTCTGACACTGTCAGGCCTTTTGTTTAAAGAAATACGATGTCAGAGAATGTTCGGAAATTCCTCTTTTGTCTCTCGACAAAAGAGTCAAGAGGACATCAAAGCAGCCACTCAACCTTACCCGGGATGAACACCGTACATGTGCGACGCATTATGCATAACCCCGGCCATTTTTCATAGTCATGCCGAAAAAAAAGGGGGAAGAGAAAATTGAGGTAGAAATCCATAAGAATGAGGTGAAGTGTCCCATGTTGGTGACACAATCCAATTTTCGCCAGGAACCCGGTATAGAAAACATACCTATACACGTATACACGCTTTCTTCCTGCAACGAACACCTCGACGTTGTTCCAGGCTCTACGTATTTTTTTTTTTTAATTTTTTCATTATATATTCACGAAGAAATTGCGGAAGCCCTTAAATTGCGTCGAGGTCCATGACACAAGACGGAGGACATCCTATTTGTTACATCGACTTTCCTGATAGCTTTCTGTTCTCGAGTTTTTCATTTATCTGTCAGGGGAAACAAGTGCGGAGAGGAAGTTTAACGGTTTTTAATTATGCAACTTGGAGAAAGAAATGTCTTCTTTTTTAATTACGACTGACAGGGAGTACTCGCTGGAGAAATGGGGCTTGGTTTCTGCGAGAAAAAAATTATCAAATTGCTGATGGTTCAAAATTGATCGGCGAAGACTGATTAAAATACTGCTGAGTCCTGACAGCTGGCTTCAAACCCGTAATTATAGTGCGAGACGCTACCAACAGATGACGCTAAACGTGAGTATACGCAATACCTTCTTCAATTAACCTCGCTAGATGAATCAGATTTCGAAATTTCTACGAATATATATTCATCATCAATAATTTCTTCTGCTCATGTAATATGAAGTTCCAATATCTAAGTTATTCTTCCTCCGAAATCAAATCTCTCGCCTTATTTCGAGCTTGAACTGTGGTTCGCATCCCTTTTTTTCGTGCCTCGATTTTGTGACTATTAAATTCAATGTTCGCAATGTCAATGTAATGAAGTTTACAACCTTGCGCAGTGTGATATGTGTGAATATAATGATGTCTCTTGGTCTTGCGAATGGGACGAAATTACTACTTCGGATTAAATTTATATTTTTAATGATTTATAAGTAATATATGCGTTGCTTAATTTCATCAATCGCTTGCCAAGTAATTATTTATTGCACAAGTCGAAGTTGTAGTAAAGGCGTAGTGTGACTTGAATTCACGCCGTAAATTTGCAGAATATTTGTTCTTCAACAGAAGAAATAATGATCGTTGAATTTTCATAATTATCTTCATCTAAGCATAACATAATTGTTTCGTTAATTTTTTATAATCTCATTTTCATGAGTCGTCACAGTGAAAAGAATATTCGAAAATAAATTACGGCATTTAAAGCGAGTCGGCAATTTTTGGATCGGAACACAAAGCCTTCAATGTCTGCCTATAGATTCAAAAATCAATGCTGTTTCTCAAGTATATTGACTTAAAATTGACGCACAATTTTTCCGATAATTGCTCTTTAAATAAAACAGAATCAATACATGTTCACGTAAAGATGAAGCTGTAAAAATGCACTAATAATGTTTCTCTCTTCGCCAACATGGACAAATAAAGGCTATATATACAGTAAGAGCATACGAATCCAATACGAGGGCAGCAGATCCCCAATCCCAGGACATTTTTTTTCCAACATAAAAAAAATCTTTCACAAAAAGAAAAAGAAAAAAATCTCACGACATGACGACACTCGTCGAATCGACCCAAGATTCACACTGAAGAAGAACCCCTCCCTCGCAGGCGGCTAAAAACCCTTGGCACCGACAAACCCCTGCGCGAACGACCCAGAACCCTCCTTTGATGCAAGGTCCGAACCCGTGTGGGTGTTGGCGACGAATGGGGGGTCTGCAACCTCTCCAATAAGAAGCTTCGGCTATACTTCACTTTGAAACAATTTGAAAATAAAAATGTAGGAAACACGCCTATCATTCTGAGAAAAAAATTGAATGAATATCTTATCGAGGCTGGGTCGAGAAATGTTCAGAAGCATCGGCAAGAATTCATCCTCAAAATTTCGAGGAAAAATAAAATGGGGTTTCGGTTGACGTACAGTATAATGAAAAGGTCCTCTTTTACAATAAGTAATTGTTTGGACGCATAGTGCGAAAGGCATCTGAAAAATGTTGACTAAAAAAGTTTCGACTTCATTCATGAAATATCTGGAAAAATTGAACATAATAGGGGTCAGTCCGACGCATATAAGAGGGATTTTCTTTTTCGTAAGAAGGGGGGTTTTTACGCACAAAAATTTTCCTTAATCTTTAAACTTTTCCACCTGTGCGTGCCCAAAATTTTCCTATTGCTCGGACGAAATCAATATTTATTCACAGATTCATATGTACCACCTAAATTTGGCAAAAAGCAAAAATTTTGCATAACACCGAACGAAATTTATCAAAAGGGCCCCCAAGTAGAAAGTCGATGATCCTAAATCGGACGATTCAAAATTAAAATGTTGTCACTGTCTTGCATTTGCATGAAGAAAGTTTGGCTCTATGTATACTAATTTCAATTGGAATTTTGTGCTCTTTTGTTTTAGCAACCCTGTTTCAAAGATCAAGTGCCATGAATCGTCAATTACTTTTTGATTAGATATAATAAAAAAAACTTATTTCATGATGTTTTTCTTAAGGTGGAGTGGAGCACAGTGAGGCATAATTTTTCAACATCAGACGAAATAGCTGATGCTTCCCTCAGATCAATTTTGTGTTTTTGCAGAATGCAGGAAATGGTCGCAAATCCACTGTAAATCCCTCGAAATATATCAAGAACTGATCCCGAACTTCTGACACGATAATTTATCCACTTGCTTCCGGGCGTCGAACTGTTCGAAAGATGATTAGCACTTCCGGATTAAGCTTGATCTATAATAGTTGGATCATTTGCACTGATTTACTCTCCGAAACTTGAGGACATTTCCGGATATCCGGTTATTTTTTTCACCGTTCTGAAATTTCCGGATGCTTAATTGTTCAAACGCCGGAAAATCGCAGACTGTGCAACATTATTACGATAGCTGGACGGATTTTGGTTGCAGACTTCGTCGTTTTATCCTGTATAAGCCTCAGCAGAAAGCTTCTCAAGCTTCTATGGAACACACTTTCCAGGAGAGAATCATCGCAGCTTTTTGATGTGGGTCTGTTTCACACCCACGTCATTTGCATGGAATGACAAATAAAAAATGGCTTTACTGATCATTTAGTACTCGCACGTGCCTGGTTTCTTGATTTGAAGTTCTAAAAAAGCGATGCATTTCCGCGGGAGCTTCTTTATTGCAGAGCTGTTATTTTTAGGTGCATATATTTGTATCAATGACGTCTTTTCTCCTATTATTTTATCATAACTTATTCGAGGTCAGTCGTGTAATTATTTTGGTGACTTACTTGTATTTTATTCATGCACTTGAAAGCTTGACCGGGAGTCTTGAGACTCTCGACTCTCAAAAGGGCTGTGCAAAAATCATTGGACGTAAATGTCAAGTGCACACTGACGTGCTTGAAAAGGGAAACAGAAATAAGATAAACGTACGAAAATAAAAAATAAGCAGAGAATCATTTCTGATCATATGTGTGCTTCTTGAAATCACCCTTATTTTCTTTGGCAGACATTTTTGTCGTGTAAATTTTTACGAAAAACTCGTGAAATTGTTCTTAAAGATTATTAACTCTTTTTAAAATAATTACCGTATTTGGAAGCCCAAAAGATGTAAGATTACAGTAACTTGATAAAAAAAAATTTGAATACAAAATTGTCATCAGTTTTTTTTTAAACAGCAGATTAAAATGGAAAGAACCCCAACAACGAAAAATCGCCAAAAAGATTTCCTTCTGGATTTTGTACTTTTGGAAGTTATTGTTTTATATGCCATTCATCACACTGATGATGTGCGAACTGACTTCAGTTACTCTGTTTTTTTTTTCAAAAGAAATTTCGTTCATGGATAAAATGGCTGAGAAATAAAAAATAAATGGTTTCCTGATTTACTGCCATTCTGCCATGATCTCAAAATAAAATTAACTTTAAATTATTCAATTTATAAAATGAAGCTGAACGGCATGCCTGAATTTTCTTAGATACCTCGTTTTGCGGAAAAACGGCAAAGGCCATCATGTGCCGAAATTCTGAAGACGATTCTCGGTTGCTTTTTTTTGCCATGAGGAGTCGATTTTTTTTTTTTTTTTGAAAACCACTGTCGTGGTAATTTTTTCGGATAAGTGAATGTTACAGTTTCACACCAATGAGCCGACAAACGGCAGCAGAAGGAAACCATTATAAACGCCATTAGAATGCGTCAAGATTTCAAGGAGCTGACGTTGCTACGATAAGCTTTCTTTGCGATTTTATTTTCGAGCAACAACAACAAAAAAAGTTAAGCCCTTCGGTCGCTGGAACGAAAACAAATCAGCAGTAGTCACGTATATAGAACATATTCAGGCATCCGGTTTCAGTTCAAGTTTCTGTGCGAACTGCACCAGACAATTATATACAACTGTGGCCTATAACGAAGTTAGTTTTTTTTTTTACTAATTTCTCCAAACCAGATGGACAGCTTTCCAGTCAAAGCTGCATTTGCAGTAGTGTACCTCACGTCAGTTTTTTTCGGGAACTTGAAGGCGGATCTGCACGGTCAGTATGAAAAGTTATCCGTTTACTCAAAATATATTAATACAATTGTTTTTTAAGGATTTTAGCTCCCATTTTCCAGAATGAATTTCGAAAAAAAAAAATGTCTTCACACTGCTGCAAGCTTAAAATCCCTGCTATTTTTGGCACTTTTTCTTGTTGGACTGCTAGAAAATGCAATACAGTACTGTACTGCATTTTTGGTACCGCGCGTTATTCATCAATTAAAATTTTAAAGTAATGTGTTTCTTCATCGGTAATAAACGTATACGTTTGAAGCCGCTTTAGAACTTTTAAAAAATAATTGAGTAAATGTAAAATACAAAATTTCGTCCATGGCAATATTTTGATGCAGAAAATTTATTTTCTCCTATTAACGCAGATCTAAATTCTGTGGTCATACTTCGATAAATTTCGCAGCTTTATTCTTTCTCATCTGATCATGTATTCTCTGCTCGAAAACTTTTTCTGGAATTGAGATATTGTTTCAGAGAAAATAATCAACATTACGTATGATATAGTGATATCTTCAAAACACAATAAATGCTTAGAATATTGAGGACACTACATGTATATAATTAAATAAATAAATAGATAAATAAAAATTAAAAATTAAAAATATATACATGTATATTGAATATAGACACTGTGCATAGTTTTTCATGAAATACATGGGCTTTTCATTTTAAAAAAAGAACGTAGCTTGACGATCATATTTTGAGGTTATTTCGAAAGAATAGTTCATTTACAGTACATTACAGTGTGTAGTGCTCTCATGTGAATAAGTGTTCGAACTAAACTATCGATGAATGGAAGGAGAAAGGCCCCATTTTTGAAGATTGAGAGCGACATCTACTGCTCAAAGTCGAAACAGTCAGTTCTTCTTTCCATTTGCGGCACCTACTGTCGCACTTCTACAGTTGATCTCCAAAACAATTGCTTTTGGTTTAATTCCGCAGTGACAGAATCAAATTTGTCGTCGACTCCTGGAAATATCTTTGACGAACCCGTTTACAATCTAACATTCAACAATGACGAAAAAAATGTGACTTCCGGCAGCCAATATTCGACCCTGCTGCAAAATTTAATCGGACCATATCAGCAAAAATCGGAAGCGGAGTCGGATAATGATCAGAAAACAGAAGAAGTTCATCTTTCAAGCGTCATCAGCACAGGATCCCATTCAAAATATACGACAACCACGACTGATTCGACGATTATCATGAATGGAACCACATTAAATTCAAACGTCGGACGAATTTTCGCAGCTGCAGACAATAATAGCACAAGGAGGAAACGACGCCACGCGAAACAGTCACGTTTGCCTCTTCATTCTCATTCGCAAAACCGACTTTGGATTGACTCGAAATCATTGGATTTGTTGGAAGACGTTTCAAAGCAATTGGCAGTCATCGAGGCTATGCAAATGCCCACGAACGGAATCTTGGAATCCACAGACGAACGCGGCAAGCCTTGGAACCCTGTAGAGGAGCAAGAAGGGTTGCTTGAAGGGTTGGAAAGGCTGCGAAATTTGTTGATTATCAAAAGGATGGTTCGCCAAATCGTGGAACGCAAGAAAAACAGCGTTTTGGGTTCACGTCGTCAGCCTTTGGATAGCGGAGCAAAAATCATTGCTAAAAAAATTATCCTCGGACGACCTGCAAAAAGGGACACTCGGCTAGTCGGGTCTGAGGATGCTAAGATCATGTAAGTGAACATGTAAGAAAATGTAAATGAGTTCTCATGGTATTTTTTGCTAGTAAAATTCTTCAATTATAAAACTTATTACGGATTATCCATTTTTCTTTAATGCCCCGCGACAGAAAAGCCATTAAAAAATTTAAATAAATCTTTATAACAAATTTTCAAGATTCATTGCAACAAATTGATTTTTGGTATTTTTTTCTTGTGCTTTAATTAAAGTGGGGTCTTTCTTGACTGACAAGCACATCTTTTCCAGAGTAATTCCACTTAACTTAAATGATTATATGTTGTGCTAGAACAACTGCAATCCCCTTTTTAAGGAAATTTTCTGTGTTCGCAAAAAAATCGAAGAAAAGTGTATACTTGAATGATGTTTTCCCTGATTTCTAAACAAAATCTAAATTTCCTTTGTGATCTGGTTGCAACCAATTTGGTGATATTTAATATAATTTAACAGAAGATAAAGTATAATAAATCTTCTAATTATTTCCCCAAATTTTTCGATGCTCGTAACTTCCAACAGCAAACAGAATTGTGGCAAAAAGGGAATGGGAAACTGAATTTGCAACACCCTTGTTCTAAGTGGTTCACACGAATCTTTGGAAACTTTTCTAGTCTTGGACTTTGACCCACTTTTCAATGAAACATTTTTTTAATTGGTGAAATTGAGATGAGCAAATACTTTTTAACGTGGCGTGCCATTTAATGACGTATATTTCATGACCGTTGCTCAAACTTCAGATTTTCCAGATTGACACACAGAGATAATTGAGTGGACATTTTAGCATCAAACTCTGTGCTGGAATTATAGGTTCGCCGGCCATACTTGCATGTTGTAAAATTTGCAGCTATTCTACTTCCTTCCAAATATTGAAAAAAGCAAGACTTAAATAGTAAAAGTGTCATCGAGCATATAATGTACAACCGCCATTTTTCAATAAAAAATGTAACTTTTTAGCGTTGAAAATTACGAGTTTACAATTGTTGTGATATGTGAATTGCTGAGCAAGAGTGCAAGAGTTTCTCCAATTAAGGAGAATGCATGAGTGACTTCAATTAAAAATAATGTACTGTACTGCACTTCATTATGAAATATAAAAAGTGCATTAGCAAATGTGCAGCAAGGAATGCCTTTCAAGTCCATTTGACGATTTAATTTTGAAAGGTTTTGAGGATCCTGGCTGAGAAATAATGTATGACGTCACTTGTTGCAATCAAAGATTATCAAAGCTGTAAGGTACAGTATAAGCAATTAAAGATTAATTTCAAAGCATAGACAAAACTTTTGAACGGCCCTTTGTGCCCTGCAACACGGCCCTGACCTTCATTATTTTTCGAAAAGCCTGAAGAAGATTGCGGTTCAGTAAATATACTTAACCTGCATTTTCCCTTATTGTTTCACCACAGCATAAATTAAAAAAGACAAAATTGAAGGTACACACGTCTTACTGTCCGATTAAGTTGCCATGACTCATAAATACAGAACATGCACTCTGAACTTCCACGTACCGCGAATTCCCGTGATTATCGTCTGGAAAATTTGCTAATTTAGTAAAATGGACGCATATTTTCTGTCACGTATATCAGGTCCCATTCATCTTTCATTCCGGCTGAAGATGCATCGCGCAGTTATTATGAAGCGGGACACGACGGAAATGACGATGAAGTAATGCTTACGGAGGCCCAGCGGTTATTATTGGAAGAATCTCCACAGGTGGAAGCGTTTCATCCGCGAGACATCTTCCTTCAAAAATTGCACAGCGCTGAAAAAGAAAAGCTAGTCGACCAGGCGAGAGAAATGCATCAAGGAGCGCCAGTTAATGGCCCAGTTTACGATTTTGAGCGGCAGGATTGGAATCTGTTGAAGCCGAAAAGATGCTGGCCGGAAGTGGATGAAATGGGAGGCACGGGACTTACTCAGCATCATGAGATTTCCGAGCGAATGAACAAGTTGAATCGACTTGCCAGACTGTCCAAGAAAATCAGTCAAGTCATGACGAAGGATAAGAGTAAGAACAAGGGAGCAACAATGGCGGAGGTAGACGAACATCATGCGAGGCACTTCGAAGAAAGTTTCTGGCCCAGGAATGCGGCACTTCAAAGTGGGGATGGTCGAGCTTATCATGGGACAAGCTGGACAAGTGATGAAATTGAAAACAAAAATTTGCCTGATGTTCACCCAGTGGCGACCGTTAATTTCTGGGAGCACAACTTCAAGGGTTTGATGCCTCCCCTTGTCGGAATGAATCCTTTCGTTGAACGTGGGATAAAGAAAAATGGTGTGTGATTTGTTGTTGTTGAATGAAATGAAGCCTCAAGAGTCCGGAAGCATTATGCAGCACTGTTTTTTATTCAGCTTTCATGGAGAATCTCATGCAGGATGCTGTTGTTTCGTGTTACAGTTTAATATTCCGCCAAAAATATATTAGCCGCTCCCCTTAGTCATTTGCCTTCAAAATTAAGGCACATCCTTCACATTTGGCTGCGGAAGTACTTCAGGAAGGTAATCTTTTCAGCAGATACGTTAATATACGAGGGTTCTAACAAAAGTTCTCGGAATGAAAATGAAGATGGCGTCTAATCGAGTTGGAAAAAAATTATTCTTTAGGGCAACCATATTCTTTGGCACAAAAAAAAAAATCAGCCCAGTTTGACAATTTTACCCTGAAGAATAATTTTTTTCCAGCTCGATTAGACGCCATCTTCATTTTCATTCTGAGAACTTTTGTTAGAACCCTCGTAGTATAGATTTTACGGATGAACAAGAAACCAATGTACAGTATTCAGTATATGTTTTCATTTATTCGGAATTATATGTATATTAGTACAGTATATATTGTATATTTTACATGGGAATTATTTTGAAAAATCTCAAGAATAGGGATATAAAATGATTGAGGCTCGCATTAAGTCGCACTATTTTGGGTGGCAAAAAGTTTTGAGAGACAGAAGTCACCCAAAATCTGAGAATCTTGCTTCAATTGCGCAGATGTACGGAGAAGAACGACACCTAGTGACTATAAGTCATGCTACGAAGTGCAAGCATGTCGTTCATATCACCCTCATACATGTATCACGGTACTGTACCGCCTTGCAATTGTATGTTAGGTGTTCTGGTAAGGTACAACTGAAGCGTGCCAGCTCACCCGAAATTCGCCGCAAATTTGAGGCAATAAGTGATCGAATGATCATGTAATTGCTTGTTGAATTGATCGATCAGACCCAGTGATGCCTGTCGTGCGTAATGAGAAGGTCGAATTTTTGGCGGAACCGTCGTGAAATGCTTGGGTAGATCAGTGAGCAGGAATGTGAAGGCTGAAAGTTAGTACAACATTGGTCTGCATTGTGAGCGATCTGTTCCGAACATTTTCTTATCTATTCAACTGTAATTCGATATCTTATTCACAAATTAGATCAACGGCGTGGGAGTGTATTTGGGTCAAGATTCGCGCGTTGAGGGAAACGACGTGATTCTGACCGGCGCCGATCACCTGAACTTTCTTACGCCGCTAAAGTGAAATTAAAGTCGTTCTGGAAACCTCTCCGTTGGACAGGCTCGCCTGCACCCCGTCAAAATGTCGGGTGAAGGTGATGAAACTTGGCAAAAGGGCGAAGATGTGGACGATATGGACAGCAAATTCCCCCGTTTGAATGTCAACGCCAAACCGTTCATTCCAAATATAAATGCTCCTGAATTTGTGCCTTCTTTCGGTGTCGAGTCCGAATCCAACCAAGTGAACAACGGTACTACCACATCAGCAACAGGTGATCAGAATGATCCATCCCCAGGATCGCCTCCAAGGTGTAAGTAACGTATCAATAGGTCGAGATTGATCTCGTGTTAGTCGTATCGCGCCATATCAGTCTAAATATCGACGTTTTCTTCTCTATATTACTCTAAAACATTTCGGAGAATTGTGTAATGATGTGAAAACCTTTTTCGTGCACTATATCCAGCTGGTGAACCGGCTGATTCCTGGGAGGACAGTGCATATGCTGAAGGAGGTGCCGATGAAGATGGAGATATTGATGAAGTTGAAGACGAAGAAGAAGATGATGACGAAGATGAAGCCGATGAAGAGGGGGATGGCAAACCTCGCTCGAAAAAGAAACGTCCCCCCAAAGACGAAGCTGCCTCGAAGAAAGAACACGTGAACGTGGTTTTCATAGGACACGTTGATGCCGGCAAATCCACGATCGGTGGACAAATTATGTACCTTACGGGAATGGTGGATAAGCGAACGCTTGAGAAGTATGAGCGTGAAGCAAAAGAGAAAAACAGGGAAACCTGGTACCTCTCATGGGCGCTCGATACTAATCTTGAAGGTAAACTTCCTTTTATCTGGGATTATATTTCGTTGATCATCATGATTTCGTCCTTCATTTTCAGAGCGGGAAAAGGGGAAGACAGTAGAAGTGGGTCGGGCGTTTTTCGAAACTGAGAAGAAGCACTTCACCATACTGGACGCGCCGGGTCATAGAAGTTTTGTGCCTAACATGATCGGAGGCGCATCCCAAGCGGATCTTGCCGTTTTGGTTATCTCCGCCCGTAAAGGAGAGTTTGAGACAGGGTTTGACAGAGGTGGTCAAACGCGAGAGCACGCCATGTTGGCGAAAACTGCTGGTGTTAGGCATCTTGTTGTTCTGGTGAACAAGATGGATGATCCCACTGTCGAGTGGTCGGAAGCACGGTTCGTTCCCAAATTTTGATCCATCCATTTTTTCCCTCAACGTGGAAATCCGTACCTTTTAACTGATTCCACTCTGAATCTGTTACTATGGTTTTAATCGCCAAATGAAGGCCAGGTTTTGATCTCCGTCAAGTTGAATTTAACAATTGTTTGATGAGAGGAGGTGAATTTGCCAGTTAAGTAAAGGTCAGTCCAGTGAGGAAGTACGAAGATAATCTTCCGAAAATTTTAGTTATTCAACAGTTTCTGTTTCCTCGTATTGAATCTATTTTCGTTTGTTGTTCAGGTTCAATGAATGCCGTGACAAGCTCATCCCTTATTTGAAGAAATGCGGATTTAACCCGAAAACGGATCTTACGTTCATGCCTTGTTCAGGATTGGCCGGAACCTTTTTGAAGGACCCAGCAGACGATAAACTTTGTCCATGGTATCGGTATGTATTGTGCGATTGTTGGTTTAATTGAGAAACTGAAAATCGTCCGTTTTCGTTCCGTTTTTATTTTCTTCTACGATTAGCGACTTTCTTTTTCATATCGGACCAATCTGAACAAGCTAATTATTATACATTTTCCGAATGCGTTTACATTCCTGACGTACGGTGGATTTTTCTATTGCAAACTTAACCACCGTGTTTACTCACACACTCCGCGCATCGATTCTCCGCGATTCCGTGTCATACACAAAAACGATTGTGCATGTCATGCGAAAGTCGCGTTGATGGAATTCGCAGGAAATTTTCCCGATTTTTTGAAACAAATAATGTGAGTCTTTTATAATACCAGAAAACTGTTAGTTTGTATCGACTGATTCGATTAATTTTGAGTACTGTAATCAAAACACTGCCAGAAGAGGCTCAACTATGTTTCGCAGTGTTATATTAATGTGGTATTGCTTGGCGCTTGTAAAATTCTTTGTTTGTCGTTTTCTTCAGGGGGCCGTGTTTCATCGAATATATAGATAGCATGCCTTCGATGCACCGAAACGCAGATGGCCCATTTATCTTACCGGTAGTTGACAAATACAAGGATATGGGTACGATTATTCTTGGGAAAGTTGAAAGCGGGGGCTGCAGCAAAGGGCAGTCACTTCTTTTGATGCCGAATCGGGTGAGTGTTGAAGCTGACGATGTTGTGCAAAGGAATGTTACAGATTTTGTTGACTTTGTTCTTAATTTGTTAGACACAAGTGATCGTCGATCAATTATGGTCGGATGATTACGAGGTTACCCGAGTATCAGTCGGCGAAAACGTCAAAATCAAGCTTAAAGGAATTGAAGAAGATGATGTCTCCCCTGGTTTCGTTCTTTGTGATGCCAATTCGCCTTGCACCACAGGTCGGATCTTTGATGCTCAGGTGAGATATTGTGTCAACATTATCACCCGTCCTTCTTTTCTCGCGTTTCCTTGCAAATAAGTTCCCGCGAAATCATCGGTTTTGAACGGAGCCCCTGTGAAAATTTAAAGCGTAATATTTTTTACAGGATGCACGAAAAGTTCTACATTATATTTCTCACAGGGGAAAATGTGAAAAGTTTTGTGGATTGTCGATTCATTTTTTTATTCTGCTGCATTCCGTTTTTTTCTTGCCGTCTCTTGAGATTAAAGACCATTTTCAACTCGCCAATAATCTGATGCATTTTGTTCCTTTAATTATTAAAGTGTACATCCTGGAGTAGAGTACAGTATAGCACTTTTAAACTTACAGAATTATGCAGATGAAATTCGACCGTTTGCGGAATGTATAAGGTGCGATTCCCTTATTATGAGTTGTGACGTTTTCCTAAATTTTGTCAATTTCGATTCGCTTTCGCAGATCGTGATATTGGAGCACAAAAGTATCATCTGTGCCGGATATTCTGCAGTTTGCCACATTCACTCAGTCGCAGAGGAAGTGACTGTAAAGGTAAGTTTCATTCGGAAACACGTATAGGAAATATAATTTATGATGAATATATCTCGAAAGTGTCAGCGCTTCCCTTTCCGATTTTAAAATTTTATATGCGTTATGCCACTGAAAAGAGTTCCGCGTGAAATTAATTTTTTACTGTGACGACGCTTTCCTGCCCTTTTCTTTTAATTAGTTTATGTGTGAAATGTAAATTATGCTGTCGGTGAGAAGTGTTCCTTTTTTAATTTACCCGTATTTGTTCATGCAGCTGTGTGATTGCAAGTTCGTGGTTCCGTGAAGAACACTTCCGCGCGTGGTTGTGAATCTTGATGTCCCCGTATTTATTTATTTATGATCTTTATCTTAGGCCCTGATTTGCACCATAGACAAGAAGACAGGAGAGAAATCTACGATACGTCCGCGTTTTGTTAAGCAAGACCAAATTGTTATAATGCGTCTTGAAGCTGCTGGCGTCATTTGTTTGGAAAAGTTCAGTTCTTTCCCGCAACTTGGGCGTTTTGCACTGAGAGACGAAGGTGAGTTTATATTTCCGAATGATCATCGTTGAATTATTTAGTCCGTTTGATGAATTTTTCCCGATGTTTGGATATTGTATTACGTTTAGTTTTTGAATGGCGGGTTTCTGGGTTAGTTGATTACATGTGTATGCGTATCGTTCATCGCGCCAAAGACAACGTACAGTACTTGGATATCACGTGCAAGGTGGCGAAGCTGCGGCTTGTTTTCATATGTCACCGGAAAGCTTCTCTGTTCAACGTTTGGCTGTGATTTAGATTTGTTAAATTCGCTAAATTTGGTTTTCATTCTGGCCAGCAATAATTGTCAGTCGTGTCCCTCCCCTCGTTTGATTTGTGTTGAGTTGAGAAGAAAGCCTATTTTCGCGAAGTAAATTAAAATGTGATGAGTTCCTGTCCACGTAGAGGAGTTCCCTCGGCACAACACCGAGGAAGTGGGGTTTTTTTTCCACCTTTAAATGTTCGATATATTTTGGGCAGTCTAATTGCTACGGAATATAGCGACTAATTCAAAAATTTCAGTGACTGTGTCCCAGATCTTATGACCGTGAAACAACTTAAAAAACATTTTGGCAATTCTGTGTTTCACTCGTATGGTGTACGTTGGCTTCGCCGCATTGTGGTCACCGTAAAATATCAGTTGAGGAAGATATACAAACGAGGACTGTAGCTGCAGAAAATACGTAGCAAATTAAGTGTGAGGCTTTTTTCATTATTTGTTATTTATTTTACGATGGCTTCGAAAATTCTGACTCAGAAACTTGGGTGCGGAGTGAACATTATTGCATGGAACTTTTAAAACGCTTGAACCATTTCGCGGACTTTTTCAGTTGACCGATACTTTTCTAAGCTTTGAGGTTTTTCTCTTTCTCTGAACGCAACGTTCTCTTCGTCATTGCATAGTGCTGTCGAAGCTAGTTGATTGATTCCCATTTGAAGAAATTGTGTCTTTTCGCAGGAAAAAGCGTGGCTATCGGAAAAATCCTGAAGGTTATCGAGTGAAAAGCCGTGGTCCATCAAGAAAAAGGAGTAGCTTGCTTTTTTTTCGGATCAAGCTGCAGAAAAGGAAGCAAGCTTCGGGATGGAGCCCGACGATTCGTGTGACTGAGACCTCTCACGTTCCGCTCGCTTGTTCGGAAGGAGCGCAGCTCCAACTTGGATTCGCCTCTTCTCTTCTTCACCGCGTTCAGAGTTTTTCTCGGCTGCGCATCCTTCATCGTCTCGATCTTTTCATTCAATCATCTTTTGTCTCCCGCATTTCTCGATCTTTCAAGATTTTTTTCAATTCATTGTTCGAGGGCCAATTTTTCCAGCAACGCTCCTGTAAGTACGTGCGCAGTTGGGTTTTCAGGCAAAAATATATAATCCTGAATACAGCTCGGCGTATACGTGACTTGCAGGAGCGATAAAAAAATGAGAACTGGTGGTTCTTAAACATTGAAATGGCAGACTCAATTTGAGTCTGTCGAAGCTAATCATTGCTGCTTTTTTGGTGAGCATTGGAATACCATATTTTTGTTTGCTGCGTGACGAAGCCGTTAATATCCTCCATACGGCAGGAATGAGTTGTTGTTTTTTTTTTCTCTTGCATTTGTCGAGGTTATAGACACTGGGTAAGGGTTCTCTCTTTTTTTTTTCAATTGTTTCTTCTTCCTGAGGCTGGGTCGATGTGGGATGCGAAAGAATGAGGAGAAATCCATCGTCTCAAGCGATCAGCGGTGCTCTTGAACTGCCTAATTGCTTCCGTTTTTTTTTTCAAATTCCGTTCTTGTTCCTTGGCCGACTCCGATGCAGGATTTTATTCGACAGCACTTCGTAGGTCAATCATGAAAAATTCATTGATACGAGATGGGGCCTGATTCCTACGTGCAGTGCGATTTAAAAAAAAAAAATTGTCGCGAGGTATGTCAAGCAAACGTCAGTCAGTTTGGATCATCGGGTAATTTCAAAGGGTTTTCGGTTTTGAATCAGTTTTCAAGATTTTCCTTTTTCGAGTGTTCCGAAAACTTGGCCAAAACCTTCTCGTGAGTCCCTGCAATCATTGTTTGAAAAATGCGCAAATTACTATTTCAGGTCTTGAATGGAGAAAGTGGCAAGATCGTGTTTGAAAGCGTAAATCTCTGGATCAAAAGAGTTGATTAATCTGTTCAAATAAGAAGGATAATATATTTTGAACTGAGAAAAATTAACTGATGTGAAATTTTTGAGCGACTATTTTTACATATTTGCATGCACTGCGTGTAGAAATCAGACGACCTCGGATGGAAAAACTGCCCGTAGAACAGTGTACACAAGATCAGCTTGAATATTATTTTCCCTAAATATACATTTTCTTTAAATATTTATTGAATATGTATTTTCATATGTTTTGGAACACCGTCACCGCCCAGGTAGTCAATGACCGTATTTTATTTTTTCTGCAGATTTACCATGGTAGTGAAATCGCAACCGTGATCGATTCCATTTGCACATCCTTCTACAGGAAATGAAACCGAAATAATGGATCTATTCCCGAAGAAGGTATTCGTTCATGCGATTCTAGAACGGAAATCGATCATCAGTGTAATATATTTCGTCACGATCACCCTTTCTATCGTAACTGTTCTGATACCATGTAAAATGCTATTTTTGACCATTTTACTATCGGATCGGTAATAATCGTGATGCGTTGGAATTTGAATAAATTTGCTTTGTACTTGAAACAGATATGAAGCTGTTAATGTCCATTCCAGAATTTTGAGTATAAATTTTTAAAATTTCCGATGAGGGCCAGTTTGTATCAGTAATCCTTAAAAATCACGATTGCCCTCAAGAGAGAAAAACGCTGTGGCATGACTTCGCTCGTGCAGAACTGTTATACGAATGCGATGAAATTGCACGTTTTTTTTTTCATTTTCTGGTGGATATACTCTGTTCAACATCAGGAACTAAAAACTACGGCTTTTGTAAAATATCTGGCGGATGGTCCCATCACTTTATACCAATTTAGACGTTCTTCTTAAATTTGTTTTTACACTGCAGTATTGATTTGCACAGGGAAAATTTTTCTTGTTTGACATCATTTGCATGAGGAGACATTTACCATGAAGCGTCGAAGTCTGTTAAGGGCAAGAAAAGGGAGTTGAACAGCTATGTGCTTCGAAACGATATTCACGCGATGGTTACCTGTCGAGTGATTTTTTCCCAGTTTTCCTGCAGGTTCTTGAAAGATTGATGGCATCCTGTCCGGGATGCGTGACGGCAGTGTCGAGCATATGCAGCGCTCGTGATTGATGTACCCGTGTGTTCCATTCCGCGCTGTAGTTTCTGGCTGCCGAATTACTCTTGCCTTGGGCTTCGGTGGAAAAGCATTTCAACTATCCGTTCGGAATCCGAAGTATATCATCAGGTTAGTTGAAAGTGAAAATTCACGTTGCTTCCGGATCGTAAATATCAGAAAATCGATTGTTCACTTTTGTTCCACTCCTGATATTCGTGAAAACGTTATTTGAAGACTAAAGAAAATAAACCCCGATAAACGGTTGTCAGGAAGCACAGTAATATTGAATCCCGTGATATATTTATCGCACATGTTCAGGAAGTTTTTTGTGCAATATATCCATGAATTGATGGTTGCTTTCTTCTATAAACTCGTCATTGTTTAATAATCTTCGAAGAAATACAGGAGTACCTTACATTCATTTATGCCTCCTCCTGAGTTTCGACCCACTGTAAGTATCGGAAATGCGGTATTCTCTATTCAGATTGTGAAAATGTTTCTCTTACCTTCGCGGTATTTTTTTCTAGATACGTGAGTCTTTGCTCAGTAAGCTTTTATTTTTTATCCATTTCATTTACGTTGATCTTATTTTGTGCGCCGCCCATATTTGAATTCATCTTCGATGTAATTGTATCTACTGTATATTTATGGTTGTTCCATTACCGCGAAAGTTCTATTATTGTTCAACTGCGGTTCGCAGAAATGGAAAAAACCCAAGCACACAAATTATTATATTTTCTTATTTTGAATAAAATTTCATTGCATCTTCTTCCACTGCAGGGCCAACATTATGGGAGCTTCTGGTGACGGCTGGGTGCCGAGACCTTTGGTGGTTTGCGGCCCATCTGGTGCAGGAAAATCCACACTTATCAAGAACCTCATGGAAGACTTCAACGGCCTGATTGGATTCTCTGTATCTCATACAACTCGTTCGCCGAGGCCGGTAAGTTTATTTTTCGTGCAGCGTTTCTTTACACTAGAACTTTTCTACCTTCGTTCCATTTGGGGCTCCAGAAAAATGAATTTTCAAGGCGGAGAATCTTCAGGATTACCATGTGGCTGGCAAAAGAATAAAATTTAGGAATACATACATAAGTAGTGTATTTTTGCGTCACGCACGAATTAAACGTATTTCTGTAGCTCAATTATCTACAGATTCAGTTTCATTCCTCTTTTTTGTTAGTTTTGACGGGGCCGTGGAACCCTTGAAAAACAAACGAGCAAAACCAAGTTCTAGAATCTCGGTCGTACGCGTTTAATAATCTAACCCGTGGTTTGCACTGAAAGGTGGGCATTTTTTGTCGAACTTCGGAATGATGAGTTTCGATACTATACGTACAGCAGTTCTGAATGAAAAACTTTCATTAGTGGGCTCAGTGTTAATGACATTTTTTTAGATGTTCATGTTTAATTATCAGCGCACACATTTTTTCACCAGGGGGAAACCAATGGAGTGGAATATCACTTCGTTTCAGTGGAGGAAATGGAGGAGAGCGTGAACCGTGGAGAATTCATAGAAACTGCAATTTTTGCTGCGAACAGATACGGCACCAGGTCAGTATCATGAATCATGTAAAAATAAAAATGTTCCACTTCCGAAAGGATCAACTTGAGGTTTAGCATGCAATTGCAATTTTCTTGTTCTAATAACTTCATTCTGAGTTTTGGGAGAAAACATCCTCTCATGCAAACAATTCCAATGTAAACGCTGGGAATTCTTACGTTGCTTTATTTTGTACTGTGCTGTAGTATCATTGGCTACAGTAGTAAACTGCGCGTATTTAAATGGCGGACTAAATTTCCATCGATTTCCAACTTTCTCATCGAGTTGAATCGTTCTACACACATTCATTGCCGTTCATTCCTAACCGAATTGTGGGGCATGTTTTCATTTAGAATGGTTTACTTGGACTATCGAGGGCATGGTTTTTTTTTTGATTTTGTCCCTGAGAAAGGAGAACCGCTTAAATTTCCTTAGTGTTCGAATTGAAGTCATCAATTTTTTTCTTTCAGCGAATTCATCTGGAAACTTATTTTTTTATTTTAAACCTAATTCTGATTTTACTGCTGAGATCGTGATGATTGTAAAGTCGGGGAAATGGTCGAATTCACTGGCACTTCTATGATAAATTTTCTTTGCGAATGAGCAGCAAAGCAGCGGTACATTCGGTGCTCAGTTGCGGAAAACTGTGTCTGCTCGACATAGACATCCAAGGTGCGAAGCAACTGAAATTAGTTGCGGACGAATTCGTTCCTCCGCCAGCATTCGTCTTCATAAGTCCGCCGTCTCTGGAGACCCTGGAAAAGCGTCTCCGCAGCCGCGGGACGGACTCGGACGACGCCATCGAACGCCGCCTCGCCGTGGCTCGTGCAGAAATGGACTATGGGACAGAACCCGGTAACTTTGACCTCCTGGTGGTGAACGACGACTTGGAGACTGCTTACGAAGAATTTAAGGAGTTTGTTTTTACTCTCTTACCTCAATGAGTTGGGTGTGACGATTGTCGGGAGGACATATTAATTGGACGCAGGGGCTCACGTGTGTGGTTAATTGCACTGTGGTTCCTGGTTGTTTCTGTTGTTGATCCTCACCGCACCGGCTTGGCCTATCTGCCTCAGTGTCTACTTGAAAAGTATTCCCATAGCTGTGCTGTTCCGCGTTCCAGTTGTGCGAAGAATCTATAGTTTGAGAAATTGGGCTTTTTATTCTGGCGGGGATTTGTAGGAAAGATATTGTTTTGGAAAGCAAAAAGGTTTTCACGTTTTGGAAACACTGTTGTGCAGTGCTGTAATTTTATCTACGCTTATGTTTGTACATGCTATTGCTCGTTGATAGGAAATGAGCGACAAATTCGTGAATCATTCGAAGTCACGCATAAATTTCTTCCTTTATGCCAGGTCGTTGCGGAAAACTTGAACCATTGCGATAACACTAATTTTCGCTTGAATCCCTCTAATGACATGCATTATTTTTAGCATGGCTTGATTAACTCTACGTTTTTTGTTCCTCTGTATCTCAAGTATTGCTCATACGTTTTTCAGTTGCTGCCGAGTAGAATAATTGTTGATGTCCTCGAGTTGTAATGCTTCTGTTGCATATTCGTCCAGTCAATTAGTAGTACAAAAAGAAATCAGACTTGGGTCGGTTAAACAAAGCAACAAATTAGTGATGTATTTCATGTTAAAATGCTGTGTATGTTGAGTTTGCTACCTCATGAAAATTTTAAAAGTAGCGCTACGTAACTAACATTCACTCTGGTTGACGCTCCCTTTTGGCAATGACATGAATCGAAGTATTACATTCGAAGTTATTTTTGTGCCCGGTGGATGTTAAGTTTTGCTCAAGTGAAACCAGCAGGTAGAAATACTTGAAATAATTCGTGATGATTTTCATAGATTATACATGCATAATTTAATTGAATCTTGTTGGGAAGTCGAAGCATGTTATCAATTTCAAGAAATTGTCTGTTCGATTTTAGAAGGTTTTGATGAAATTGCTGCTTAGAAGCGATTAAAAGACTTGACACCTGAATTTTCGTTAAGCCTAAATTTAACAGTATTAAAAAGACCAGAAGAGAAATTCGCGAAAATACTTCGTGCGGATTGTAATTTTTGGATAGATCCAGGGAGATGCGGTTGGAGTTCGTGTGGTTTGTTGCTCATCTTGTGTTACCCCAACTGACATAAATCTCCACATTCCGAATTTTTCAACAACAAAAAATGAAATGTCTTTGTGTTCTCTTTGGATTGCTCTCTGAAGAAGCTGTAGCGCAGTACCTCTGCTATGTGTTCGCTGTTCCACTGGTTGTTGGCTTTGTTTGTTCTTGTTTCATGACTGTTGGAATCCACGGAAGGCTTCTGTTCTGTTTTGTGTCTCGGAGAGAACGTTTTTAATTTTTCACGGGAGTTTATTGTTCGTTGGGCGCAATAAAGAGGCGAAGAGACGTGGGACAACGTGCAGCTGACTTACCGTTCCCGTTCGTGATTCCAGGAGCTCGATTTGATTGTTGAGTCACGCGCTAGTTTCGCACGGTTTTGCTAAAATAATCCACGGATTTTATGAGTTCTATTTGAGGGGAAGAATTCTCATTTAATCATTCAAGATGTTCGTGATGAAATTTCCGTTGGGGAAGATGACTTCTTGAGTCACGAACGGAGTTTCGTTCTTGCTTTGGCAATTTCTCCATAATATTTCATTTTTAAGCAATGTCCGGTTTCCGCGGAGAATACTGAAAATTAGGCCAGTTATTTTTTCAGTATATTTCTTGGATTCAATTATTTCTGAAGTTCTGATCCTCGGAACATCCATTTGAGGATCCAGGTCAATCCTATTGTTGAACGAAAAATGCTAAGCGGGAAAAATTGAGTTCGAATAAATTTTTCCGGTGAACTTCTGATCAGAATGTTAATAGTATAGAAGCATGTACAGAAAGATTCATAGTATTAAATACTCGTACTAAAAATGTATGCCTTTGAAACCAGAAAGGTTACTGCTATTAACGAACATGCAATGACACCCATTCCTTACCGCAAGATTTAGAATCATTTCTCTGATATAACGCGTGGGAGAAGCTGGTAAAAAGAACATGCTGCCGCCATTTGAAATAAATTTTTATCGAAAAGGACGGAAGCGATTTTACTTCACGCGGAAGCCAGACAATCCTGCGATCTTAGCACGTCATTCTTTCGATCATTCGTTTGTTCGTCACAAAATTTCTCAAAATTATTTGAAAAGATTTATTTCGAAATTCGACTCTTGCATATACAGGGGTGTTCTCATAATTAAATGGCGACGTGCGATCTGGAGCATGGTGTGAAATCGCTCAAGTGCGCTTCTTCCAGCGACAGCGAAGATGACGACGACGACGATGCGTCTAGCGACGAAGATGCGTTGAAGAATGTGTCGCTCGGGATGTGGGACTTGGGTCATTGCGATCCCAAGCGGTGTTCCGGCCGGAAGTTGGCGCGGTTGAGAGTCGTTCGTTTGCTCAAGATCGGGGAGAAGTTCCCGGGCGTCGTCTTGTCGCCGAAGGGCGAACGAGTACGTTCTTCCGGTCGTAATTTTCCCCCCTTATGAAACCCCGTTTCATCAAATTTGCGAATGTCATGATCTTAAATGGCGAATGATGCTTCCGTGAACATATTGTACAATTCTCTTATTTACATTATTTTTGGCACAAAATATTCGTCTTCGGAAGGATTACTCCGTAATACTGTATTTTCTTAACCTTGTGCAGGTGGAAACAATTTATGTACTGTAATGAAAATTGTTGTGTAAAAATATGCGGAAAATTAGAAATTAAGGTGACATTGTCAGAACTCGTAGGTGTGTGGCCGATTGATGTCAGTGCTTTGAATGAAAGTCGGCGACCGAAAGAAAAATTTAAAATAATTTTATTGCTTTCGCAAGCCGGACATTAATGTTACTTTATTCAATTTCAGCCGTGGGTCTGTCATTAGAAAGAATAGAAATGAATTATGATTTCAGGTAGAAAGTCTTTCCTTATATTCGGCAAAATATTTAAAAAAAAAAGGGAATTCATTTATGCGATTTGTGTTCGATCTCTCAAGTTTCCAAGGAGCTATAATTATGAAAAGCCTGATTATGTAGCATCGTTTCCTACAATTTCAATATATACGTGATCATATTTTTCAAAATGTCCATAAATGAGGAAAATCAGTCCGAAAAAATCGAGTTATTCTCCTTGCGCTAAAAATAGCATGGGAACGAGTATATTTCCTATTCCGAATCGCAAGTTACTGGCAATGAATGAGGATGTGGAATCAATTATATTTTGATTTTTGCGTGTGGCAGACTAAATGCATCTTTTTCAGGCCATAATCGTGTAACTCACCATCTGGGCAGCTGCAGCATCGTCACGATGGAATGTAATTGACCAACTTTCTTTTTGAAAAACGAATGAAATTTCTTCCACGTGCTGCTCTTCAATGTCATGCCTGGCTTTTGTGAATCTCCTGTATTGTATTTTGGAAAATATTTGAATTGTTGGAGGAGTGGTTTGTTTAATGAGAAATCAACTCACTTGCTGTTTCCAACTGGCTGTGAAAAATAACTTCCGCTACGGTTGATTTTCAATGCATTCCTCTTTTTTTAAAGATCAATCAGAACTTCTCAAGCTGAATAATGACTTCACGTATTTTATTTATGATCCTCGAATAATGGAAGACTGAAAAATGAACACATTTTGAAATTACTGTACCTCAAATATCAAAGCGATAACAAAGGAAACTTGATGTCAATTCAATGTAGGAAGTATGATTTTCCTGGCGTATAAGCATGATGGGGTCTTCTTCGATGGAATTCGATGAAAAATGTCGAGTGCAGAATATTTCTGTGAATGAAATTGTTTTACAAATTTCTGACCTAAGATGGCGAGTTGTTCTTTGAAGTTTAATTGCATCCCGAAACTATTTTCCGTTTCCTCTAGTGTTCCAATTTAGCATCAAATTATTTGATTAATTTTAAAATAATGAAATTTTAATCGAACAATATTAATTGTGAAGAGTAATTTTCCGTTTTGTTTTCGGGTTTCCGATAGGCAAAATTAAAGAGCACGAGAGGCTCCTCTGCATTTATCGTTTGACCCAAATGAGTTGAAAACCGAGTGCGATATGTTCTTTTTATGATAACACGTGGAGCTGCATGTGCCAGTTTGATTTTATCCATCGAATTTTGGAAAACTGATTGAGTTCCCGTGAGAAAATCCTAAAGGTCTGGTTTTGGAATTGAACCTTGGCTTGCCGAGAATCACCCAGACATGTTTCCCTAATGAATAGAACAAGTTCTTTAGGGATGTAGTCCGTAAATCAATTAAGGTGAAAACCTTTTTTTGTTGCTTATTTTTTTCGACAAATGAGAAAATTCCCTTCTGCTGCTTCGCTGCGTAAATGAGCTGCTCTTGTTCATCAACGATGGCATAGGTATTTCGGGCTGGTTAGAACCAGTAAGCTCAGTCATCTACTGTGTCTTCTCATCATGGTCATCCAAAGCTTCCCAGTCTTTGGAAGATGGGTTCAATGAATGCTGAGAAAATCTTTCTTTACCTTCAGTCTGGAAAAAGGGGCCCCGAAGTTGATTTCGCACGTCTGTGCTGGTGAGTTTGGTGACTCGACCAAAGCTGCCTGAGATGGGGTGTAATTGTACTGTATGACCTTTGGTTCACTTTTTTGCTTCATTAGTGGGAAGCGTAGAAAAAAGTAAGATTTAGCCGTTTCATCTTGAATTGAGTAGTGTCCATAAAATTGACCGTTCCAAAATTTTTTCGGGCAAGTTGAAGAGCGTACGCGTGGAAAAAACCGTAGGCAAAATTTCGGTGAAATTCAGTTTCAGTGGACGTGGGTCGTCTCAATTTAAAATTTTGTATTTCTCTTCGGAGATTCGATTACTTGCGACCATTAAAACGGAGTGATTGCAAATCCATATTACGGTATTTTGACTTGGATAGCTTTTTCCGGATAATCAAATTAAGCGGATAATCGTTCGTTAAATAAAAATGCTCGATGACTTGATTTTATCGAATGAGGAATGACGTGAAACTATACAAAAAATCCCGAAAATTTCGATGCAAATTAATCTCTTTGTTTGGCTTATCACGCGATCAGAATACAAAAAGAACGCGGTTTAAGGCGATAATTACGCGATCTATATCGGGCTTTGTTTTCTCTTTTAGAACGTTAATTATTGGATTAAGCTAATCTGATGATTCGGATGGATGATATAAGCTCAGGTTTTACTGTTCTTCGTTTCGTTCAGGTTCATCTTGAATTGAAAAAATTTTGCCGGAAAAAAAATCCCAAAATGTTTTCAAACGGTTTTCATTGATACGTTCGCAGCTATTTCCGAGAGCGGAAAAAGACTCGATAATGCATTGATTCAAAATTTCCTGCACGAGTAGTCGAATATCTGGATAATTGCGCTTATACTGTACTCCGCCTTGTTCGTTTGAGTTCACTTACAGGGATTATTACCTCGATTTTCAATTCCCCCCCTCCTCCCCAATAAATATTAAAAATATTTATGCACTTTTGTGCTTGTTATTCCGGAAGCGGACACAAACTTCATTCGAAGTTCCTCTTCTCGTAAATTTGAATATTGTATTTTATATTGTATTGAATTGTACTCTCTCTATTCAAGGATCTTGTGTACAACGATTTTCTCTGTACTGTATAAGGAATTTTTTCTTTGCTCCCATAGGATTCTCTCCTCATTTTTTAAAGGTCCTCTACAAAAAAATTTTTGGTCCCTTATTGAATTTTTTTTAGAGTCCACCTGTATTGTATTGGGCACTGGTGTGTATTGAAATAAACTGAGTTTCACTGTGCTTTGTTTCGTCCAAATTCACCTGGAATCCTGGATAGCAGAAATTCTCAATAAATATTCCGATTTATTTGTATTTTCCTTTTTTGCTTTTTCGAAGTTCAGGCGAAGACTAGTGATTCAGAAATCGGGCGCGAGTAATCGTATATCCGCGGATAATCTTAAGAGTTTTACCTCATATCTCGGGTTCACCAATATGGTGTTTTTTTTTTTTTTTACCGTGGTCCCGCGGGAACCCATCATAGTAAATGATTCGAACGTTTTTTGCTCTCCTCCGTGCCTATATATACAGGTCATTTCCCGAGCAGACAAAGACCTGATAGAGAAAGCAGGCCTGGCCGTGGTTGATTGTTCCTGGACGCGTTTGGAGGACGTCAAGTGGTCCAAAGTGGGCAAGGGGGCCCCTCGACTGCTTCCTTTTCTCATTGCGGCGAATCCCACTCATTACGGAAGACCCTGCGAGTTGTCTTGCGCCGAGGCCCTGGCAGCTGGGCTTTACATCATCGGTTCGTTGATCCGGATTTATTCACTATTGATGTCTCCGTTTCGTTTCGCGGATTGTTTCGGTTATATGAGGTGTTCGGGATTCCGGACACGACGCTGACCGACCTTTTTGAACCCGTAGCCTTGTGTATGTATATACGAGGGTTGGTTCGTGAGTTTTGAGACTTTTCTTGAAATGGATCCAACATGCAGGGTTTCAATAACAATTCCAAAAAATGTGTTTACTTGCATAGCCCCGTCATTTGGCAACACTTTCGTAACACTTTGGTGATGTTCAACGTACTCTTCGCCGATTTGAATGCATTTTTTCATGCGATAAATGCACACACACAGGGTTTTGATAGTGTTGTTTTTTACTGTTTTTATCCTTCAAAACATTGCCAAAATTCGCTTCATTTTTGTTGATAGACACCCTGTGACTATATGGCTGTTCCTGACATTAAAAAACCATCTTTAAGAGATTGCTTTTGAGGACAGGGACAGCCTCATTTCAGCCGTTGAAGAGCAGCTTAATCGATTACTGTATGAGGGAACTCGATTTTCGGCACTGTTTCGATGGTTGGATTTATTGCATGAAAAATTAATCAAAATCGCCTGAGGGTATGCTGAACAGCGCTGAATTGTTGCCAAATGATGGAGCTCTGCGAGCTAAAAAAAAATGTTTTGGAATTTTGGAATAGTTGAAACTCCGTTGGATCTATTTCAGTAAGTATCAAAACTTAAGGATCAGCCCTCGTAAATCGTTCTCTAGGAAACTTCCTTTTGGATTACGCAATTCGTAATATTGGTCCCAGTTCGGAGTTTTCTGAAGTGAAGGATTATCCGATTGCGAAAACTTCGTCTCCTCATCACAATCGCAGTTTTTATTTCGCTGCCGACTTATCGATGCATTTGGGGCAATTTTTAACTGTCTTCTATCTCAGTTTTCTCCAACCCGTGACCCGCGGACCAGCGTCGGTCCGCAGAAGATTTTTGCCGGTCCGCGGGACATTTAATAAATTTATCAAATGCTGTAATTAAGTCTGTTATATTCATCTGAAAAAATTGAAGTTTAAATTATCTGATGAAAAGATAGAAATCGGCTTTTCTCCTAATAACCCTTCAGACAAATGTTCACCTGCTGAAATAAATTTTTTGAATTTGTTATTCCGAGAAACCTTTCCTTAATCCCACCTTTTTTTAATTTTATGATGACATTAAGCTATAGGTGCTTCATTGGGGCTCAACTTAATGTTTACAAAAAGCAGACAATTTTAAATCCCTGCCATAAAGTTTTTCAAGCAAAATTTTTTCGAGTCTGCAAAAATTTTGTCAATCTTTGTCGGTCCGCAGAAAATTTTTTGAACATTTTCTGGCCTGTGGCCCAACAATTTTGGGGAACACTGCTATCTATATACAGTACAATAAATTGCACACCATTTTTTGGATTACGCAATGCGTATTGGTCCCAGTTCGAACTTTTCTACAGTGAAGGATTTTCTGCGAAGCGTTATTGCGAAAACTTCGTCTCCTCATCAGAATAGCAATTTGAATATTTCGCTGCCGCTTTATTGAGGCATTAGGGGCAACTTTCACCTTTCATCGTGAAGAGAAAACCCCCTTGCGAAATGGGTCTTGGAATTTTTGCTTGTCTGAAGCGTTTGCCATAAAATAAAGTTGCTGAAGCCTTGAGTATACTCCCTTTTTGACCCGATTGCCATCTACAGTATTTTGACATTTTTTTAAACGCATGATCCTGAAAATCTTGTCACGAAAAAATGAACCGCTTTTAAGAAAGAAAAAATAACATCGGTATCATCTATGATGCGAGTCATGTTACCCCTAAAATTGTTGGCTTTTGAGAAATGAAAGCTTGCAGGTTTTTTACCTTTTTGGCCCGTATGAGGTATTGTGTGTAATTCAGCCAGTTATGATGATGAAATTTTTGACTATTTGCCAAGTGAAGTTGAAACAGTGTGAGATCAGAAAAGAAAAGCTTGTGTCACCGGGAAAAATTTTGCGAGCCAAAAAAAAAGAAGGCAATATTGTTTGCAGTTTCCTTCAGAGATAATGCTGTGAATTTCCCATATGCCTCTTCATTAAGTTCCGGTGCAAATCATAATCTTGAAGATGTAACAAATTTCCTTCAGCGAACAATGATTTTCGTATAAATAGTTCACTAGATTGACATGGTATTGATGTCATTTTTTTATATTGAAATATTTGGTAGAATTCCGTTGTGCTAAAAAAGATTTTCAAATGATCGAGCATTTTTTCAGTGATCCAATGGATTCCTGCAAGTTTTGTGTCAGTCATGTTGAAATTAAAAGTTGTTCTAAAGTTCTTGTTGATGAGGAAGAATTAAGTTACCGAAGTTAGGATTGCAGTTGAAGAAGGAAATAAAAATAATCAAGCGCTGAACACCGTTTCAACCACTGGAAAATGTAAATAACTTCGTAAATTTTATGCATCCTCGAGTTCATTGTAACCTTGTATACACACGCGACAAAATTTTAAAATTTCACTCTTTCGGGATGAAAAGTAAACTTTTTGCCTAGTTTTAGAACAACCTGGCGTTGGTCAAATGACGGAACAGGACCAGCTTTCATTGAAGAAGACGTTTGCCTTCAGTGTGTTTGCTCATTAATCTCATCTCCCCTCCCCGAGAACGATTGAGACGGCGTGTTGATTTGTGGGACAGGTTTCTTCCCACGATCGTTTGTTTTTCCCCTTTTTTTATGTGTTGGGTTGACCATGGGTTAATGATGGTGCTGTACCGAAGACGTGGTGGAGCTCATCAGTGCGTATAGCACACATCTTTTTTTTTTCTTTAATCGAAGTTGTACAAGATGACGGCTTCATTAATTCTGGCTAGTTCAGTTTCAAAGTACGGTCGTTTCGAGCCTATTGACTATCATTTTAAATTGGGCACTTCGTTGTTGAAGTACCCGGGGATACCTCTTCAACAATTTTATTGAACGCTCCCCGTTGTAAGTAAACTACAGTACTTAAATTAATACCAACAGTTAACTTACTGAACATATACCTGCCGATTGTACTCAAGTTAGCTGCTGATAACGAATACCTGTCTAATTATTTTTACCTAATGAATTATTTGAATGAATGAACAGAACACTTTATTTGCCGCTTTTCAGCGTTCACAAGGT